TGATTTTTATTTTATTCTCGTTTTTTTGTTTTTTTTTTGCATGTCGCGGTCGCTGCATCTACGAATCAATCAACTCAAGTGTCAAGAGTGTATGTGTGTGTGTGTGTGGTCCACTATCAAAGAGCGAGACCGCCGCCCAAATGCATTTGTTGTAAGTGGCTGTCTCTATGCGGCGTACACCGTCGTCGTCGGTCCGCGTACACAGGTGAAATTTACCACTTCGACGGCTAAAAACAACATTTGAATGCGACATTCGAAGGCGGCCAAGAAGGTATTGAACGGATGTTGGTCTCAGTGAATGTGTGTGTGTGTAAACAGCACAGCAACAACGGATCGCCTAGTCCGCCTCGGTTTGGATCGGCTCCGATCGTTTCCAATGGGTTCGTATCGGATGGCCAGTGATTTACTTTTACCTGCTGATGCTGGTGATTAACAGATCGGCAACGTCATATCGCTTATGCATATATCTACATATATATGTATATATCGTCGGTATCTTTTGCCTTGGACTTGCCGCTTTGTCAATATTTTGCTTATGTTCGAACTCCGGCCCGACCCTTCTCGGCCATTATTACCTGTACAATGCCAAAAACAAAAAGAAAATAAGAAAAAACCATATAAATGCCCTGCGCTGTGGTAGGTGCGCTCAAGTGCCAAGTCTGGGAGACAATTTTCCCATCAAGTGGCACCTGGAAAGCATCTTTGAAGTGCGGCGACATTTAAAACTTTTATTTCTCGAGTACTCGTCGTATTCGGGTTGACAAGTATGTGACAGGGTCATCATCAGGCATCATTGGAGCCGCAAGTTGGGGACTAATTAACTGTAAGAGTTCCCCAATTAGAAAGTGCTCCACAAGTTACTCGTTTCAGTTGAAGGGGAAATTGATAGATGATGATGATAACTGCAATACTTGAATCTCTTCTATTACTTCTCTTCGTTTCTTGAACTAATCAAGTATTTTGTACTGTGACTTATTTTGGATTTACCGAATTAATGATCAAATCTGAACGACATACTAATTTATTTATAATTCCAAGCTGAAACTATGTATTCCTATATTTTATATCCATTTCGTTTAGCATTATAAATCTTTTTATGTAATAAACAAGTTAAACAGATTGTTTCAAAATACATTTTTGTTATATTCAATTAAAAGTTGTTTTATTTACCACCAATTATTGTTTTCAATGCATATTAAATAATTTAATTGTTCGCCGATTTAAATTTAACCTTTGACATATACAGTCGACAAGTCAAAACAAGTTAAAATTGGATAAGTGCATAGATTGATTGCTTGTTATGAACTATCGATTAAAAAACTGTTAATTGAGTATTTTGCTGAAATCAAAACAGCTATTAAAATTCCATGGCCAACGTTTTGTCGGAAGCGTTCCGCTGAACATGAATTTAAAATCGAATATCAATAAAAGATAACGCAGAGAATTTTGTAAACAAATTTATGATAACTTACGAAGTTTTAGACTGCTTACACATATTATTCCAAATACAAATGTATATTAAATATATAACAAAAATTCATTTGTAAGAATCCGCATCGAATACATATGCATTTCATAAGTCAGCAGTATGCATTGGAGAGTAATGTGCCATATCAGCAATAAAATTCATGAATATTTTGCTAATCAGAAATCGTATGCATAGCTGGACAAGTAACTAAGTAGGTAAATTAGCCAAATTGATTACGTGGCCATCGTGATTAGCACCTTGCAAATTGCTCACACATTTTAAGTTGACTGCAGCTGCCCAAAAATTAGCAAAGCAGCCAATTGAGAAAGTACCTGAGTTTTCAGCCGCCTCTCGATTCAGTCTACATACGTATGTTTGTTTGTGTGCGTGTCTGCTCGTCTGTGTGTGTGTGTGTGTTTGTGTGTGTGTGCCTGTGTGTGTGTGTGTGTGTGTGTGTATACACGCATTTGCATTTGTATCAGATTATGAGCCACAAACATTTTCGGCCATGTTTGTTTACTTAGCTCCGCCTCGTCGGCTTCACAATGTGCGTTCGTTCGCTTGTAGCTGTATCTGTGTCTGCGTCTGTGTCTGTCTCTCTGGCTCAGCCTCGGTCTGTGGCTCCGTGTATGTGTGTGTGCGTGAGCGAGCGACTACGGTGTCTGTGCCCGCATCTATCTCTCTTTGTGTGTGTGTGTGTTTGTGTGCGACTGTATACGTGCATGAACATGTACGTGTGTATATATGTGAGGCGCATCAAAAGTCGCTCTTGCGCATGTCTTCGACGCTGGCTGTTTGAAACGTCTCGCCATAAGCAAGTCCACAAAGTCCAGTGGTCTGGCAAACTTGATGAGAAACCCTCGCATACGCCATTTTCTCCAAACAAAAATCAATTGCTTTAGCTATAAATAGGCTAAATGCAAACTGATTTAATTAGTAGTTATGAATTCGATTTGAGGATCAAGTTTTAAGAAAAAAAAAACAACAAAACTCCAGTTTAGTTTTAGCAATTTAATGAATTGACTGCTTTATTAAAAAATGTAAGGAAGACAAGTCTGAAAGTTACAGATACATAAATTAATATGAACATTGAATAATTATAAATTAAAAGTCATGTCAATTTAAAAAAATGTCTATCGATTGACTTTTAAGGATTTTTAGGATTCTTGGTCAAAATTTTGCATAAAAAGTTAGAAAGAATGTCTGGATATACTTTAGGTCAGACACAACTAGTTTCGACTTCTACCGATTCTTGAGTCAAATATTTTACTTAACCAAGGCGAACGACTGGATGAAGGACATCTAAATTGTCCTTATAGTTATATAGAGAACGGGGATTTGCTGATTTCGACTCATCTTCCTTAATCCTTTAATGCAGTGCGTCGAAAAGATTGTTGTAAGAATGTGTCACTTTATATTTAATAATATGTTAGCAATTAAATCAGTAAATGCAGTTGTATCCCCTGCCAAAAAGTATGCAAGTTATTTCCAATACAATAAGTCTAGAGCCAAAAAGTACGCAATATTTATAATTATTAATTCTTGCAAACAATACTAATATTAAAGGATCGTTCTATCAAATGAGTTAATTAATTTATTTGTTATATAATACAAAAAAAAATTAAAAAATATTAGGCAAAATTTGTTTTTTTTTTTGTTATAGCTTGTACAAATAAATAATACTAAATAAATATCAGCTTATAGTTCAACTAATTTTATCGTACACTTCAATTAAAATACTTTACTGGTCATTTAAAAATAAGTAGCCAGTGATTGTACTATTTTATTGTAATGTTGCCAACTGAAAAAGGATTCACATCTATAAGACTGGTAATGTGATTGTGCCATCTCCTTATTGGACTAACTTAAAGCAAACCAGCTGCTACTTAAAGTAAAGAAAGGGCCCTGTCTCTGTTGCCACCCAGCACTTTCTATGCGCTAGTTAGAAGGTGGTTGGTAGGGAGGGGGAGTGGGGATTGGAGTGTGGGTAGCCTGCACCAGGATCCTAATTACATTTTACTAGATAAATTGTAAACTTTTTCTGTGCGCGTTGCTGCCGTTGCAGCTGCAGCAGCAAAAGCAGCAGCAGCAGCATCTTCTCGAACAGTTATATTTTGTTTGAGTTCCATCAGTCGACGTCGCAGTCGCCGTCGCCGTCGCCGTCGACGTCATTTTCGTCTTTTACGCTGCTGAGCAAACAAACGCACAGGCGGGCAAATGGGGGAAGGCTGCCTTATAGGCAACCTGTTCCCATCCACCCCCCACCAAGCCCTTATTTTTCGTGTCGAGCAGGACACCCTGTTTATTGCCGTACGTGCAACGTTTGCAAGCATATTTCCGGCGAACGGATGTCTGCAGCAACAGCAGCGCCAAATGTTGGCTCCGGCCAAACGAGCTCCAGTCAGCTGCTCCTGCTTCTGCTCGTCCAGTTCCTACTCCTGCTCCTGCTGCTGCCAGTCCTCAGCCAGATACGAGTAGAAAGTCAGTCAGTGCCGGTTACACATTTTCAAAAGTGCTTGGCTCTACAGCTCACTGCCATTAGTCCCTTCCCCCATCCCCCTCCTCATCATGGTGGGGGCAGTGAGAGTCGGTCTGAGAGTGGGCGTGGCTGTTGAGGAGGGATTGGAGCTTGGGGGTGTGCTGTGCCTGGCCGGTAACATTACTGGCACTATGTGTTGCACTTCAACTTGGCGTGCGTATGCCAATGTGTGTGTGTGTGTAGTTTTGCGCAAATATTTGCATCTGGAATATTTGCGCGCTCCATCATAATTCAAACACAGATGCGCTGTTTGTAGAAGAGCAATCATTTTGACATGCAACTCGCTTCAAAACCGAATTAAGTGGCATTCAGTGTCAGTCAGGAGAAATACATAAACATATTGACACTGATTGACGCGCTCACGCAGCTGCTAAAAGTGGCAAATTAAAAATATATAATTTTTTATAATACGATATGATATCCCAGAATGTCACGAAAATTTGTATAAGACCCACATAACAATTACAATTATAGGTGAAAGGAATATGAATTATGAGTTTTAGAATTTACGTACTTTTGTACATATATTATTGATTATTGTCCAAATCAAAATCAGACCATGAATAAATCCATTTAATGTATATCTTGAAACTTGGATAATAAGCTTTCTAAGACAAACACCAAATATAGCCAAGACCGGAACCTATTACTAAAGACTAAAGCTGGGACTCTCGCGGCCTTATTAAGCTGCACTTGGTTGCTATCTACGCTAAGCCGAAGAACAAACGAATAAGCAAATGTACGCAATATTGACTATCGATAACACACTGCTATAATTTACTAAGGTTATCAGCTGATTTCAAAAATATATGATTTATCACGCTCACAGTACAAACATAAATCGAATATTAGCTGTTATCAACGCAAATATACAGGCATTGGACGAAATATCGTTTGGGTCGATAAGTATCTTAAACTTAGTTAGGCATATGATTTGGTGGAAACTGAAGGGCAGGGCTGACTGTGCGGAACTGCCAACTTATTATTTCTAAATATTTGTACGCTTGCCACTCTCGGTCACACTTAAATGGACACCATGAGGTAAACAGTGAAATTAATTACACAATAACTTGGATTTTCTAAAAGAAACCAAAGTACCTATATATATAATAAATAACAAGCAATCTGGTTAGCTCAAAATGTTGCAATTAAGAGGGATTTATAAATTGGGCACTACGCTACGTCAGCGCCAATTTCACACCGGCATAGCGAGACTTAAGCGTCGCAAGACAGCTGAGGAGAAGGTGAGACCAATCATAACAAATTAAACTAAAAGAGAAGGTGCAGAACATTCAGCGGCTGTGACGTCACAAAAGCCAATGATAATGTAGAGCTGTAAATTGTAGTATATAAATTCATATGAAATAAATCATATATATAAATTCACTATTAAGCTGCAATAATAACGGATTACCAAGCAACTTAAATAAATCTAAAGATGACCTCACATGCTTAAGCCTCAACCTTTTTTTTTTGAGAAACTTAAATGAGAGTTCTGATTGTTCAACCTTGTAGAATTGTTAGCACGGAACACACTGATTAATTATATAGAAATCCCCTCGAATTATAGAGTACTCTCCGAAGAAGTTGCAGGCAAGCAATGTGACAGCAACACACGGCGCCATCGACATCTGGCGATATATGAGCGTGTCTCAGCTGGCAAAGACACTGCAACGGCCGTTGGGTAAGTGGCACACTGAGTAAAAGTTCTTGGAAAATTGCTTAGTTGATGTCCTTTCCACTCCACAGACGATGTGCAGGAGGCGATGTTATATGTGCCTGGCGCTGACAACATCGAGGCAGCCGCCAAGCTGGAGGATCTGAAGATCATTCAGGAAATCGCCAAGAAGTTGGGCGCCAAAACACGAGTTGTCGCCGCACCGGAAGCGAGCGTCGAGGATGAGCACAAGGATCGTGATGTCTTACCTAGGCCACCGGCATCGCCGGAGCTGCTCAAGCAACGGCCGCCGGTGGTGACGGTGATGGGCCATGTGGATCATGGCAAGACAACACTGTTGGATTCGCTGCGCGGCGCTGATGTGGCCGCTGGTGAGGCTGGTGGTATTACTCAGCATATTGGCGCCTTCACGGTCACTCTGGAGAATGGCGAAAGAGTCACGTTCCTGGATACGCCTGGCCATGCGGCATTCAGTGCAATGCGGGCGCGCGGAGCTGTCGCCACAGATATAATTGTGCTTGTCGTTGCCGCCGAGGATGGCGTTATGGCGCAAACACGCGAGGTCATTGAGCTCGCAAAAGGAGCACAGGTGCCCATAATCGTGGCATTGAACAAGATTGACAAACCCGAAGCGAATATTGTAAGCGTTTTTATATATTATTATACCCGAAGCGCTAATTCATCTGTTTTTGCAGGAGAAGAGCAAACGGGAACTGGCCCAAATGGGTCTGACGCTGGAGGAGCAAGGCGGCGATGTCCAAGTCATCCCGATTTCGGCGCTGAAGGGCACAAACTTGCAGCTGCTGGCGGAGGCTGTCAGCACACAGGCCACGCTGATGGGGCTAAAGGCAGACACCACTGGCCTGGTTGAGGGCATTGTAGTGGAGTCCAAGACCGATCCACGTCGCGGCAAACTATCGACAGCCATTGTCACGCGTGGCACATTGCGTAAGGGCTCGGTCTTGCTGAGCGGATTAGCCCATGCTAAGGTGCGTGGCTTATTCGATCACAATGGCCAGCCACTAACAGAGGCAGCGCCGGGCACGCCCGTGGAAATATTGGGCTGGCGAGAACTCCCGCTAGCTGGTGAGTTAATACTGGAGGTGGAGACGGAGGTATGCCAAGGAAGTCTTTTAGCACAGTGTTCAATCGGAAATTACAACTTTCTGTCAGAGTAGCGAATTTCAAATCAGAATCGTCTTGTTTATTTATGCCTGCATCTTAATGGCCGATCCATAAAGTACATAGCCATGTTTGTATGCCAGCTAGTTTCAGATTTAAAAATATCTATGAACTGTTCCCTTTATCCGTTTTTTTTACATTTTTTTTTGCAGCAGACAGTAAATATTTAAGTCATAAAGTATATAGCCATGTCTGTATGCAAGCTCGTTTCAGATTTAAAAATATCTTGATGAGTCTTTTTGCTGCAGGCAGTAAATATTTAGGTCACAGTTTGCAGAATTGTAGTACTACATCATAGAGCTAGAATTGATAAGACCGTAGAAGTTATTTTTCTAGAGTACATATTGGTTCTTGTATTTATAGACAGTCTAAAATTCATTGCAGAAATTTGAACTAATTTGCGAGCGAACATTGTATTATTCCAAATTCACCATGTTCTAATGCCAATTAATTTTGCAGAGAAAGGCGCATGCAGTCCTTAAATTTCGCGAACACCAGGCACAGCAGGAGAAAGTCGAGTCGAGCAGCGATGAGATTCGTAAGAAAGAGGAGGAGCATCAGGCAAAGTACCGTGCAGAACGTGAGGCTCGCCGCCTGGCCGGACGCTTCAGAATGCGACGCGGTCAGCGAGTTAAACAGGTCGATGAGAATGATGGCAGTCCGCGCGTGAGTGTTGTCATCAAGGGTGATGTGCATGGATCTGTGGAGGCCATTTTGGATGTGCTAGAGACCTACAACAGCAACGATCGCTGCCGCTTGGATATTGTGCATTATGGCGTGGGCAATGTGACGGATGGTGATCTGGAACTGGCGAAAGCCTTCAATGCCATTATCTACGCCTTTGCCGTGGAAACACCACAGTCCAAGTTGGCCAAGGAGGTGGATGTGAAGAGTTACAATGTCATTTATCGCCTGATCGATGATCTCAAGGAGCAGTTGAGTAGCAAACTGCCTTCTGTGGAGGTGGAGGAGCAGCTGGGCGAAGCCAATGTGCTGCAACACTTCTTCATCAATGAGGGGCGTAAAGAGATTCCCGTGGCTGGTTGCCGCTGCACCAAGGGTGTGCTCAAGAAAAGCCAAAGATTTCGCCTGCTGAGAGACGGTGAGATCATTTACGACGGTGCTTTGGAGTCCATGCGTCATTTGAAAAACGAGGTGGACTCGATTAAAAAGGATGTAGAGTGCGGATTGCGCTTTAAGGACAACAAGGTGTTGCCAGAGGCAGGTGACACGTTGCAATGCTATACAACGCACATGGAGGCGCAGCAAACGGATTGGGATCCAGGTTTTTAGTAAATTTGCCACATGGGAACTGCTTTTATATTGTTGCCGTTGCATTGTTATCGTCATTACATATATGCATACATAAATAAATAAATAATATATATATCTATATATATATATATCTATTGTTTTTTGTATTATATATTGTGTATATAAAACAAGTCCACTATCCAACTTCCTGTTGATCTTACTGCCGCTGCTACTGTCGCTGCTACTGCCACCCTTCACCCACATGCCTAGCGCTTAGGATAACGACGCTGCCGCAGCGGAACTGACGCTGATAAGCCACTGACAACAGCCACGGTGACTGCGACTGTGGCTGCCACTGATTCTGAAGCTGCGTGCGCCCCTGGCTGACCATGTGCATGCCATGACGGAAACTGTTTAAATGGGTCAAAGCAATGCTAATTGGAGTTAACCCACACCAAGCCAGAAAGAAGCAGAGTCTCAGCCCAAGTCGTATTCTTCTCGCTTTTTTTCTTCTGATAAACGATTTCCGTTGAGGGTGGCCAATTAGTGCTTAGCTCTAAATTTGTGAATGAATTCGTTTTATTTAAAACACATCGCATTTTATACATTACACTCACACTGGTTTTATTTAATCGCATTTAAATGTTTGCCTTGAATATTGCGGATTTTCTTTGCGCTGCTCTCTGCGACATAAATTGTTGCTAGTTAGCTAACTGGAAAAAACTTTCCCCTACTGTTCGCTGATACGTGTGGCCTATTTTTAGGCATTGGATATCAACAAAGTAATTACACTAGGACAAAATTTTAGTGTTGGCGATTATGAAGCGTATGCTTAAAATGTTCATTTATTTAATATATTATTTGTCGATTGGTATAGTAAATAGGCTAAGGGTATATCATAGCGAGTCTAAACAAACTTTATTAGTATAATATATTTGCTATCTCTTTAGCTATATCCTAATCTTTATTTTTTGGTCTCATGGGCCATTAAATGCTACACTTTTGAAATTTAGAAATTATTCTTCAGTCATTTTTTGAGCATAACAGATTATTTCAACTGATCCATAATATTTATATATCTTATTGAATTTTTTAAGCTTAAATTTAATTTAGGAGATGTACATATTAAAAAGTATACGCTTTTGATTCTTATTACAGTGTGCAGGTTGATTTAGCTGGATCTACAAGTAGCGCTAGTGATATTCTGATTACCGAATCGTATGCCATTGTCAAGAACCGGAAACGGTGGACGGACTGGACAAAAGCTATTTTTGTTTGTGAATGAGTTAATCTGAGAAAATTGGAATGCGGAAATAAATAGCAGACAAAATAACCGAATTGTTCCTAAATGAGAACTCATGAATGAACTAGAACAATTAACACTTGACAACTTAGTAATAAATACTAGCATAGATATTCGATATGTCGGGGCAATGCCGTTGATGTGGAATTTGTTGAATGAATTTGCCAGACTGCAACGATCCCACAGCGCACCATTTGATATGGATGTCTATATTTGTCTGACTAGTTAAAAAAAAGATGTCAAATCAAAGTATAAACACATGCACATATGTTTTCAGTAATTAAAACTGAAATGGCTTCCCTGCACTGCACATGTATGTTATGACAAGGATCGCTTGCGTGGAAAGGACCCACACTTCCTAAATGCTGCCGACATGTGTTCATCAGCGAAGCATTGCCTCGCCTCGCTCATTAGGGGCGTCAAATGATCTTGACTGCAACTTCAATTTCAATTTGAACATGTGAGACAACAACGGAGACACTAAATCACCGCCTGGCTATTACTTTCAACATCAGTACTCACACACACACACACACACACACACACACACACACACACACACACACACACACACACACACACACACACACACACACACACACACACACACACACACACACACACACACACACACACACACACACACACACACACACACACACACACACACACACACACACATTTACGCACACCACACACGAATGCGGTCGCACACACGTGCAAAGCATGAAGATCAGTTGCAGAATTGCCAAGAAACGAAGAGAGAACCAGTTGAAAGTTGAGAGCCAATGCAAAATGCGAAATGCGCGTGCGAATGCAGACAAAATACAAACTCGCATTGGAGTTAGTCTCTTGTGGGGGCTGTGCGAAGCCGGTTCTCAAGTAAGGATCAATCGCATTTCACAATTTCATAAGGGAAACTATATTTAGTTGAAATTAATAAATCACCAAATAACGCCGATTGGTTTCTGCCCAAGCCTCTTATCCAGTTTGGGGCAAAACACAAAGCAACGGAAGCACAAACCCGCTGCTGATCATGGCGCTATCGCTGCTGCTCTGCTTTGACGCCGACATCTGCGTCGACAGCGACGCACAAGCTGTGTGAGTCGACCGACGCCTTGTAGTGCTAGTGTTGCTGCAACGGAATTAGAGCGATAGTGTCTCGTTCAGTTGTTGGCGTGCGCTCTTACCCTGCGGATGTGCTGTGATCGTGATCGTGTTGGTGAGGACGATACGAAAGGATACGACGACGACGACAACAACGACGCCGCATTTGTCCTTTTGGCAATGCGCAAGCGCAAAGTGCATACAAATGTTCAAGTGTCAATTGTGCGAAAATAATTAAAACTCAAGTGAGAAACATCTCAAGTGCTGGAACATTTAAAGTAAACTTTGAAATATTTGTGCAAGGAATTTTGTGAAGAGCAGCGCGAGCAACGCTTTCGATTCATCGAAGCAGCGAAATGGATTTATCGAGGCGGTTGCGGTAAGCATCTGACAAATATGTATCCCACAGATACAATTGCCAGCCGCAGCAGCAGCCGCAGTAGCATCAGCTCGTATTTGGCGTAAAATTGATTCAAATTACAGTGTCAATGCGTATTTTAATTTCATTTGAACTACATGTGCAAACACTTGTCTTGGCTCCTGACTGGCTGGCTGACTGGCTGGCTGACTGGCTGGGTGACTATTTACAACTGATTGTCCTGTTCCCATATGTGTGGGTGTGTATTTGTGTCTGTGTGCTAGAGGGTATGTCCTGGGTACAAGCTGTCTGTGCAACAGGCGCTTCGTTGTTGACAGTGCGCGACTGCCATTATCCTGGCCAACATTTTGTTTGCATGACAAATTACATAGCCCGCTTAATTGAAGATTCTTAACGAAAATTGCAACATTTTGCAAACAAAATTCAATATATCCTTTGCCTTGATTGTTACGCCAAGCTGTGCGAAAATAATCATTTATTATGTTAATCAAATTCAATCAAATTGAAGAATGGTATCTACTCGATAAACTCTGAATAATCAGCCTCATGTTTAATTATATTCATTCTTTCGAGGAAAATGGTGCTATCTAAATATTTATGTGACTATTAAAAATGCGAAATTTCTTCTGCTAAAAATGAAATGATAAAAAAGTACGCTGTTTCATAGCCCATATTAAATGCTGCTAGCTATAAGTGATGTCTGTCGAATTCAAGTATTTTAAGCAATCTTTTTAATTAAATGTGGAATCTTTAGAATTATAAGAAGCATGCGAATCAATTGGATAATCAGTGTCTTATGACCCATATTTGCCCAATCGATATTTCCTGTTCAAAAATGTTCCATAATTCTCATAGTCTGGCAGCAAAACTGAACTCGAATCTATTCCCTATTTACTTGTGAAGACAAACATTTGGTTTTTGACGCAGTCTTTGTTGGTTTTTTTAAATTTGTGTGCGAACACAGAAATCAAATCAAAATTTCGTATTGAAATGTAAATATTTATGCCCAATAGTTAAGTCTAAATTGTATGCCGGGCATGGATGTATGTAGGTGAAATGCGTGCGCTTTGAAGTGATTTTCGAAAGACGTAGCACAGAAAATATGAAAAGAAGAAACACTTTGACATGAAGTTAACCAGGCAACCATCAACCGCGTGCTCAGTCAGTTCAAAGTTGATGGTGACTCTGTAGCTATACTGCTTTTGATAGATCTTGATGAAGCTGAAGCAGTTGCTCTCACGCACACAACGCTGGACATTTATCTTTTGTATGATCTGAAGCGCTGGCATTTGGCAGTTGACCGCAGCACTGCGTGCGTTTTATTTTTGGCCAAAGTCATAAAGTTGCCGACGCGCTGACCGGCACATAGATGCTCACAAACTTGTTACCCCGTGCCAGGCTCTGACTGGCTCTGGCCAACGGGCAGTTAGCGCATCCATTCATCAAGTATTTTAAAGCTTTTCGCGAAAAACGCTGTGCTTGCCACTTGAAAGGGAAAATTCGGTGTGTTGTCAACGACTGCTGGCATCGGTGGCGAAGCCGTTGTTTGTTGTTATTGTGGTTGCTTTGTTTTTTAGGTCCGCTTTGTTCTACGAAATTGCGTTAGAATGTGGTCAACACATGACCCCTTTAGCGGAGGCGACAATGACACGTGTTTTGCTATAGATTCAATCCAACTTCGCGGAAAATCTATTTTAAGTACAAAATGCAAACTACGCCAAGATAGATAGTCGCTAAAATTTGTATACGGTTCCCGAAATTCTGAATTGGCATATGATTTTCCATTGAATTTAATGAAAATGATGATAAAACGGTTATTCCTTCAAATAACTTAAGTATTTTAACTATATATATAAATATTTCACAATTTATCATTAGAGTATGTGTTTCTTAACAGTGTTTGATCATTTAATATTTTGAAAAAATTCGCGCACAATCGATGTACACGTGGAACAAGTGTTTCCGTTTGAATATTTTAATCGGATCTATTTTTGTTCCAAATCGCACACTTGAAATATTTGTCTGTAAGTGATTCAATTGTCGAGCATGCCGTTACGTATAATTTGTCACCGGCCAGGTCAATAGCCAGTCTGTAGTTTAATGGTACAGCCTAAACATTTTAAGACACTCGACTGTTTGTGGGCCCATTAACTTGGCCATTAGACTCTCATTGCCATTACGTGGAGCAAAACTTTGTCACTAGCGACGGCTTTGAACTTGACTCAGTTACTGCTGACAATACGAAGATCAGTGTTGAGATGCGGTGAGCAGCATTTACCAAATAAATTATGAACATTAAGATACATATTTATGATTTGTTTATATTCAGAGTTTAATAGAAATGTAGATCAAGTTGATGCTTAAATCCAAAAATAAATGCTTACCCACTATGCCTGCCTCTCTCCAGCTTCATATTACGTGTGTGCCGTGATTGTTTGCTATGTTTTAACTATAATTTTCCGCTGAACACCACTAAATTTCAACCAACAACAATTGAAACACAACCAGCAGCAGCAACATGGCCAAATTGTTTATTAAGTGTTTGTGTGTGTGTTTAACTAAGTATAAACAATAAATTCCCCAAATTGATGCTTTGAAAATGATACACGCACACTCTATTCAAAGTAGTCGAATACTTACTAATAAACCGGCAAAATCGTGCACACAAGTTGGAAAAACCAAACACATCGATTGCAAAATTGAGCCTTAATTACTGTAAATAAATCGCTTAAGCAAATACTTATCGAATGTGGTAAGTTCTCTAAAGGGGTTCCGTTGCCGCTGCTGTTGGTGTGAAAATAATCCGGAGTTTGCTGTTTGCGGCGAAATGGAATTAATGGGATTTTCGAATGATGCGGCAAATGAGCAACAAATTGAACGCATGTCGAGCAAAGACAAACAACTTGCATTATGGTTGCTGCCGCTGCTATTGCGATCCTTCCATGGCTCAATTACAATCCAAGTTCATGGCGGCCATGCTGCATGCTGCATGCTGCATTTGCAACATGTGTTTAACTGGCCCCCAGTGGCAACGGCAGCTAATGATGATGAACTGACGAAGATCTGTAGATCTTGTTCCCATGACTTTATGCATTATGCTTAATTAACAAAGGCTGCCGACGTCGCGTCGTCGCGTTTAATTATTCCGTTGCCCAGCATTAAATCAAATGCGGCTCCCTAGTCGCAAATATGTTAATTTTTAGCCTAAAAGCAGAACACATATGTGCACTCACACACACACACACACACATACTATACACATAATTAAATCGATAGTTTGCTAAAGGCTGAGCATTCGCAAGAGGTCGACGCACGCTGCAACGCGGAAGATAAAAAGGATGCCCCAAAACAAACCACACAAAATATGCCGTCGCAAAACTGCAGAGGCTGAACAAGCCACAAAAAAAAAACACAAAAAACACACAAAAAAAAAAACAAAAATACAAAAAAAAGGTCGCATGACGGACAAAAATATCCAAAATTGTTGCAAAGCAAACGAGGGACAGTGGACATTAGCGGACAGCGCGGAGTGAGGTGCCCCAACGAGATACGTCATATGCAGCCGCGGCAGCAGCAGTAAAATGTGCCTTTAAATGCAGCAGCAACAAGTCAGGCAGAGCTCAGACAGAGCAAAAAGCCATAAAAATATTTTGACTGGCGGCTAAAGACCTCAACTGCTTGCTGCTGTTCTTGTAGTTGTTGTTTGAGTTTGTTGTTGCTGCTGCTGATGGATGTTGCAGACGTGACTTAAATTCCAATGACAGAACAGGAGCGAAATGCAGCTCAAATTGAAATCAAATAGGGACACGGACTAAGAAAAGCACAGGACACGTGATTTGCAACTTTTGCAACTGCATCTTGTTGCACCACTTAGCATTTGCATAACAGTAATTCAAACTGCTAGATGGCTCCATTTACCTGCCACCTACCTTGGAAGCAACAAATACAGAAACACCAACAGCCCATCAGTTAATAAGAATTTACCGAATTGTTGCCGTCAGTGCTAAGAATAACAATTTCAGCTTATAATTGTGTAATAAATCAATGTCTGTTCTACATTTTGGCTGTCAGCCCGATGGTTAAAATGTTCGCGGAGTTCGCATTTCAGTTTAAATCTATTAATGTGAATAACTGCAACTGTTGTCCGTCACGATGCGTAACAAATTTTCACTTATTTAATTTTGCACTTTCTATTAGCATTCTTTAGTAAAGTTTAATATATTTTATAGACTTTACTATGCGCTGTATTCCAGACTACGATTCAGAGTTAACTGATGTTTTCGTGTATTGAAAGTACACTCCATACGACTGTAAAAAATTTGTTAAAGAGTACGGATCCTCTAGTGTACCGATGATTTATGTAATAGTCGACCATTGCAAATGGCTTTAATAGTATTTTAGTGATGCTAAAAAAGATTTATCTGTGTATATACAAAATGTTATCCATCTCCAAACTGAATATGACTGTATATTGCGTTTGTTTATAATGTGTTAAAGTATATACATATGTATATATATATTTCTATATAAATAAAAGAACAAAATTCTGCACATTTTTTCTATATTAATGTTGAGTATCTAATTTATATGCTCAGTTAAGTAAATATCTATAAAAATTCTGAAGGTAATTATGTGCTGAAATGTGCTAGAGCATGCAGCATCCTGTGAATTTATTTTTGGAATTTTCTAGCGCATACTGTACTGTTTATATATAGTATATAATATACCGGGCCAGTTGGGCGCATCTAGGTAGAAGTACAAAGTTCGAAAGTTTGAGAGTTAAGACTTTATGATTTTTGTGTTTTATTTTCGCCTTGCAATTAGTTATGAGTACTCATACTCGTAGTTGTACCACTTTAGAGCACTTGAAGCGGACTGTTGCAATCTCGCTCCAAATGAGTTGGGCAAATAGAAAATTGCCAATATTTATGTGTGGCTGTGTGTGTGTGGAGTGTGCTTTGCGAATGGGGTGTGGGGGAAGCGAGTGAGGCGTTATGATGCCTCTAATTAGTTACATGGTATGTTTGTTGATGCTGTTGTTGTTGATGTTGATGTTAATGCTGTTGTTATTGTTGTCGTTAATATGCAGTCGGCTTAAGTCTGAGTCTCTCGCATATTGCAGTTCAAGTGGCTGCTGTTGCCCAGTCAATGCAAAATTTGCCATAAAAATTTGTTTACAAATGTTTGTTGTTATTGTGAAATAAACCATTTTGCCTGCTTGCGCTCTCGGCTGCTGTCAGCCAGTGAAATTTATGGGTCAGTAAGTTGTTGCAGCTCGCACTAAAGTGAAATGCAGCAAATGTTGCAATCTCTCGCACTTCCTCTCCCTTTAACTGTCACTGTTTCTTCGTCTCTTTCTATCTGAGCTTGAGCTCAACTGTGCATTCTGTTTGCTCATTTGCTCCGCTCGTTTGCTCAAACGCGTGACAAATATTACATTAAGCATTTATGCAAACTTTGTTGCCTCTTAGCCTTAAAATGCGGCTACTTTGTTAAGGGCGCACACACACATATAAGCACGCCCAAACATGCTGTTGCATAACACTGCTCTGTGTCTCATTTAGTAAGCAGTGCCAGCAGCACAGATTGCAGTGCGTTGAGAATGTGTATTAATTTCACTACTCAATTAAGTTTAATTAATTTTGAAATTGATAATTGCTTTCTCATATGCGTTGCAAGTGTTTTTGCCTGGCAGCCAAAATGGCAGCTAGATTGCAGGGAAAGGAGCCAGGTCGAGTCGACTCGAGCTGTCAACGTTAACGTCGACTTCTACATCGACGTGTGTGCATTGTCTTATGCAAATGCAATTAAAATTTCAACAAAGCAAACATTTACTTCCGTTGCAACAAATGTCGACGCGTCGTGCCAACATCTTCATAGAGTCATCTTTATAGGCATATACATAAGCGGCATCACCATCAGCAGCAGCAGCAGTAGCAGTATTAGCAGCAGAAATAGCAGCAGCATTTACCTGGCCGAACTGCAGCCCCAATGTGGCTTTTCGCATTAGTCTGTGTTTGTCTTGCGATAATTGTATGATTTTGTAATTGTATTTGCACGCCTCCGCATGTGGGCGTCATATTTGAAATGCCAATGCCATCCGTATCCTTTCAACTAATGAGACCAAGCCTGAGAGGCTTCACATAATTGCTGCCTGCTGCTTCAAGGCCAACTGAAGAACATGCTTTTGAATGCAGCCATAGTCTAATTGGGCTAATTGCCAAATGCAACATAATAAAATGTGAACTTGATGAGGAATTATTAGAATTATTATTAATATGTGTATTCAGAGCATCGACTTAAATAATTTTACAATATCCTTAGCCATGGTTTCTTTAATGATTTGCTCACTTGGATAACTTAACTTACTCAACTTAACTTACAGCATTTCATTAAAATGTAAATGAATTAGTGAATATATAAATAAATTTTCAATTTCCATTATTCTTGTGAATGACATTAGTTTAACTCTGAGTTCACCGTTAACTTATTTTGTAACTGCATTTCAATTTGTTGCAATGAAATCTGTGGCAATTCCATTGGGCACATAAGAAATGCCAACATTTTTTACAATCAACATATTAATCGGGGGCAGTTAAAGTCAAATGATTGCAGCTGCCAACTAGGTGGGATGGGGTATAGGGTAGTATTGTGGAAGTGCGGGGCATTCCATCTTCATCAAAGGCCCCGGAGCTGCGAAATGCGTCGGAGGCTGCTGTGGCATCTGCAAGCTATGTATAAATGTAGCATGTTGCACTCTCACATTGGCTTGCCATGCATTCCTGTTAATACTTTTAAATAGAACGCACTGCTGGCTGACTGCCCGAGCTGCCGCAAGTGCTACAAGTGCTGCAAGTGCCCGTACCCCAACTGCTCCCTTTGGGTTAATCAAGTGGCATGGGAAACTGCGTAAAGAGTCGCTGCCTATGCTAGCCTAAGTGAGGGCGTATGCTTGCCACGACCTCGCCGATGAGTCATGTTAAAATAAACAAATCAAAAACTGTTTTCTGTCTTCAGGTGTGGATTCTGCTTTCAATTTATTTTTGTGGCCGACGTTTTGTTTAGATTCGTTCCGACTTGCCACATAGTTATTTAGTTTTTGGTTTTTGTTTAGCATCGAAAATTATACATAGTATGTTTTGTTCTTGAGTTTGCCGTACAAGTGCAATCGCTTCTATTGTAAGTGCTATTGTTATTGTTGTTGTTGCGGTTCATTAGCAGCCGACTTATTTATGATGGCCATTGCAACACTTTAACCAACAAATGCACTTGTTGCTTTGCAAGAGATTTCAAAATCCATACATCCATAGGATGTGGATTGAATGTGAACAAACATTTGCCCCCCAAAATGGTGTCAACCAAATACTTAAGTCTGAGATGCTCTTGATGGAGAGTAATAAGATATGCGTATACTTAATCAGTGTATCAATGAATACCAAACAATCGTAGTACATAATTTCTTAAATTTTCAAAGCTGTGTAGTTTGTTATAAATGGAAATTACAAAATTGGTATTCACCTAACGGAGAGTTACTAAGCAGTAAAATTAATCAATGATCAGAAATAAAAATAATTTTACATTGTACAACTAAACAATACATTTCCGAGTGAGAAATAATAAATACTCTAGAGTTTCCAAGCCCAGCAACTATTAACTTATAACTTTTGGAAAATACTGAATGCTTCTCATAACGAACTTTCATTTTCCAGTCTGCTGCAGAGATTTAACTAAAGTAAACAATGAACAATGCACTCCATTGTTTGATTGCTTAAATGGAATCCTTTCATTTTAATTTAACTGGGCCTGTAATTGACCCAGACAATGCTGTGGAAAGCTGCCGACAACATCTGCCTTGATCTTGGCCATTAGTGAGCAGTGGGCTGCTCAAGATTGATGTCCATTATCCAATTGGGGTCAGAACAAAAGCAACGCTTTGCTTTAGTATATCAAATACAGGCGGACATATTTTAGCCTGGATATGGGTCTGATGTTATCTGGTATTGTTTTCAAGTTTCCGTCGAATTTTTAGCATATCCGCTTTATGTTTGACATTTACTTTGTGGCGATGTTTGTGGTTTGTGGGATGCCAGCGGTTTTCATTTGATGTGTACAATTAATGCATATTCATACTTGTGTATTTAAAGATTGGGGCAACTGTTTATGTTTGTGTCACGTGGCATCCGCCATATGTGGATTCAAGAATTTCGGGTAGCATATATTTCAATACCATGCAGAACATACAATGTTCATTTTGTTTTGATTTCACGCATGTATGTTTCACGTGGCGCAAATTTGTGCGTAATCAGCATGGAGCCAAAAATGAAATCACGACTTCTTTGCGGCTTCTGCGGTTTCAGCAGATTTTTGTTGGGCTATCCAATTAATAGCGGGTCGCACTGAGACCATGTCCTGGTACTGTATCCTGTTTGTATGACGCAATGGTATAGCAGGCGTCTAAGAGACGCCGCCTCGAGCTCGAGTCAGCCCCGGCTCAATGGACTGTGAAATGTGTGCCGTGGCGATGCCATCGTTGTCGTTGTCGGTGTTCTGGCATTGTCGCGGCTTACTTGCCAAAGCAATAGGTGTCCTGGCATTGGTTTCAAAAGGGAAATGCGCTCAAATTGCATTAAAATGCCAACACAGAAGCATAAAAATTATGGGCACACTTGGCGTGCCACTCTACAAGAACTGCCATCCAGGACCCGGCCCTGTCATAAGCAGCACGCCTGCTGTGCCCCGCAGTCTCTGTCTCTGTCGCAGTCGCAGTCGCAATCGCAGTCAGTCGGAGGCGTCCAACTGTAACAAAACGCAGGCTCCTTGCACGCAGCGTCAAAAATTAAATTGGCAAGCCACCAACAGGGAGCGGGGCCTGGGGCTACTACCAAGCCTGCCACGTTGCCTGCAACATTGAACGCTTTTGACATATTCACGCAACTTGTCCTCGCTCGCCGCATCCTCGTCCTCGACCTCGTCCGGGATTGTGACTATGGCTGCGGCGTCGCCTTGTCTGTGGCATAATCATATATTCTTTGCTGGCGGGTACTTATTATTTACTTGTTCTTTTCTTTTTGGCAAATCGGCAGGAAGCGCCTCTAAATTATGTCTTGTTTATGTGGCAGTGCATATTTATGGCCAGCGTCGCGGCGCACAATAAAAAATTGTTACCGAAAAGAATGAAATTGCAAAATTTGACTTGACCAAGTTACACAAGGCGCCCACTCCACGATCTACTCCCCCACCCCATCACATAATGTAAAAACAAGTTCAATGTTTGTTTCCTATGACCAGTGGACATAAACAAGTTCATGTTATTGTTGTTGTTGTTGTTGCGAAGCCCTACAAAAGTTTATTTGTAAACCTCTGCTGGTCGTAGCGTGTCTCTTATGAGAAAGTCGTTGACAAATGACTGACTCCCAACACCTTTTCCCCTCTCTACACGCTCAATACCCCTTTCTCTCTCTCTCTGTCTCTGCCTCTCTCTCACTCTCTCTCTTTCGCATCCGCCTGTTGGTTATTTTAATGAGCTAGTGTGGCCAAGCATGCGGCAAAGTCAACAAATATTTGCAACAAGTCCGCACGTGACGCTGTGCCTCATGCGTTTAATGAATAGACGCATGAACTGTTTGCGTGGCCTGTGCAACATTTAATTAAATTGTATTCTGTCTTTTTTTTTTCGAATTACAGCTCAACTGCCTTGGTAGCATTCATATTACTCATAGGTATACAGGACTCACAGAGTAGATTTGTAAGTATAATTAAGTAGAGTGTAGTTAAGTATAGCTATAACTGTTGCTCCTGTGTAGCCTGGACTACGTGCAAAAAGACAATATGGCGCGAATCTATATTTACCCGCCAGTTACGTGACGCCTGGCGGCGAGGGAGACGATCCCAACGAATGGACGAACTGGAGCTCACCATCGGATTGCTCGCGCACCTGTGGAGGCGGCGTTTCCTATCAGACACGTGAATGTCGTAGAACAGAGTGAGTAATGGCTAAAAGGCGAATATTATAGCTAATTTATCTCTATATCTAAATTATTATGTCTTAGCTCGAATGGCGAACCGATGTGCAGCGGTGGCAGTCGTCGTTACTACTCATGTAACACGCAGGACTGTCCCGAGGAGGAGCCTGACTTTAGGGCCCTACAGTGTTCGCGCTTCGATGATAAGAAATTTGATGGAGTGCTCTACGAGTGGGTGCCCTACACGAATGCGCCAAATCCGTGCGAATTAAACTGCATGCCGAAGGGTGAACGCTTTTACAACCGCCAGAAGGAGAAGGTGGTGGATGGTACACGGTGCAATGACAAGGATCTGGATGTATGTGTAAATGGTCAGTGTATGCCCGTTGGCTGTGACATGATGCTGGGCAGCGATGCCAAAGAGGATAAGTGTCGCAGATGTGGTGGAGATGGCAGCACCTGCAAGACCATTAAGAACATATATACATCCAGTGACCTGTCTTATGGCTACAACGATCTTTTGCTCGTCCCTCAAGGAGCAACGAACATTCGAATTCAGGAATTGGCACCGTCAAACAATTACTTGGCATGCCGCAATGCATCGGGTCACTATTATCTCAATGGCAATTGGAAAATTGATTTCCCACGGCCCATGTTTTATGCAGGATGTTGGTGGACTTATCAGCGTAAGCCCATGGGTTTTGCTGCTCCAGATCAGATGACTTGCAGTGGTCCCATATCCGAGAGCATTTACATTGTAATGTTGGTGCAGGACAAGAATGTGAACGTTGACTACGAGTACAGCATCCCGGAATCTCTGAGCCATAGTCAGCCCGATGTGAACACGTGGACGCATCGCGAATTTGGACCATGTAGCGCGTCCTGCGGAGGTGGCACTCAGTCCCGTCTAGTTACCTGCAACAATCGCCTCAATTTACAAGAAGTTGATGATTCTCTCTGTGAGGGTCAGACCAAACCAGCTGAAAGCCAGGAATGTGGTGTTGAGCCCTGTGCTCCACATTGGGTTGAGGGTGAGTGGGACAAGTGCTCGAAGGGTTGTGGATCAGATGGCTTCCAGAATCGAACTGTAAGCTGCGAGCGCATCTCCTCTGATGGGTAAGCTATATACGTTGTGCTAAATTATGGATAGAAGATAAACAATACACATTTACAAAGTATTCACTCAGCTGAAGATGACGCCGTGTGCCTTCAAGAAGTGGGTAACAAGCCGGCGACAACTCAAGAATGCAATCGTGACGTCAAGAACTGTCCCAAATATCATTTGGGTCCTTGGAAACCTTGTGACAAGCTGTGTGGCGAAGGCAAACAGACGCGTAAGGTTACATGCTATATCAAGGAGAATGGTCGCAAACGCGTTCTGCCAGATGATGATTGCGTGGAGGATAAACCGGAGGAAGAAAAGACTTGCCTGCTGGCACCGTGCGAGGGTGTGGACTGGATCGTATCACAGTGGAGTGGTGTACGGATTTTTTGGATTTTAGCTTAAACAAAAATAACAATTCTTTCTTTTTTATAGTGCAATGCTTGCGGGCAAACTACAGAAACTAGAACTGCTATATGCGGCTCCAAGGATGGAAAGGTTTACCCAGAGGAATTTTGCGGAGAAGAGGCTCCTGAGTTGTCCAGACCATGCAGCTCCAAAAAGTGCGATTCCCAATGGTTTTCATCAGAATGGAGCAAGTGTTCAGCGGCATGTGGAAAGGGAGTTCAATCGCGCATAGTCATCTGTGGAATTTTTGATGGCAAGAGTATTAAAACAACGGAGGATTCCAAGTGCGATGCAGCATCAAAGCCAACATCAGATCAGGAATGCGAAGGCGATGAAAAGGAATGTCCTGGTGAATGGTTCACTGGACCTTTCGGCGAATGTAGCAAACCTTGCGGTGGCGGTGAGCGTACTCGAGAAGTTTTGTGCCTGTCGAACGGAACCAAGTCTCTCAATTGCGATGAGGCGAAGGTTGAATCCATATCAGAAAAGTGTAATAGTGAGGCTTGTACCAAAGATCAACTTTTACCACTCACTAGCACTGATAAGCCGGTGGAGGATGATTTAGAGGAATGTGAGGAAGATGACTTTGATTTGGTCCACGGTGAGCTAACAGAAGCGGATGAAGAATCAGAAACAATTTCATCAATAACGACTGATGATTTAATGTTAAGTGATAGCCCATACTCAACTTCTGAAGATGCCTCTGCTTCTACCGATAGCACATTTGAAGGATCAGGTTCAGAAAGCACTTCGGATAGCGGTATTTCATCTGAAGGTAGTGGAGATGATGGATATACAACAGATGTTTCATCTTCTACTGATGAATCGTCCACGGACATTTCCAGTGAATCGAGTGGTTCGACAGACAGTAGTGAATCGACATCAGAGGCCTCGTCATCATCTGTATCTGGATCCACATCGGATTCCTCCACAGGAGGATCAACTGAGTCTAGTTCAAGTGGCTCAACGGACGCCTCAAGCTCTACAGACTCAAGCTCAAGCACAGACGCCTCTAGCTCGACAGATGCATCAAGTTCAACAGATGTGTCAGGATCCACAGATGTTTCTGGCTCAACGGATATCTCTAGCTCAACAGATGTCTCAGGGTCTACAGATGCCTCAAGTTCGACGGATACCTCAAGCTCTACAGACGTGTCAGGATCAACAGATGCTTCAAGCTCGACAGATGCCTCAGCCTCGACAGATTCCTCATCCTCGACAGATGCCTCAGCCTCGACAGATGCCTCAGCCTCGACAGATGCCTCAGCCTCGACAGATGCCTCAGCCTCGACAGATGCCTCAGCCTCGACAGATGCCTCAGCCTCGACAGATGCCTCAGCCTCGACAGATGCCTCAGCCTCGACAGATGCCTCAGCCTCGACAGATGCCTCAGCCTCGACAGATGCCTCAGCCTCGACAGATGCCTCAGCCTCGACAGATGCCTCAGCCTCGACAGATGCCTCAGCCTCGACAGATGCCTCAGCCTCGACAGATGCCTCAGCCTCGACAGATGCCTCAGCCTCGACAGATGCCTCAGCCTCGACAGATGCCTCAGCCTCGACAGATGCCTCAGCCTCGACAGATGCCTCAGCCTCGACAGATGCCTCAGCCTCGACAGATGCCTCAGCCTCGACAGATGCCTCAGCCTCGACAGATGCCTCAGCCTCGACAGATACCTCAAGCTCCACAGACACATCCTCCTCGACAGATACCTCAAGCTCCACAGACACATCCTCCTCGACAGATACCTCAAGCTCGACAGATGCATCAGCCTCGACAGATACTTCTGAATCTACTGAATCCTCATCAACCGATTCTTCTACCAGTCAGTCGACAGAATCAACAGAATCAACAGCATCTACAGATTCGACCGTCTCATCATCCACGGAAAGTACCTCTGAATTTACAACAGAATCAACAGAGTCGACTAGTTCACCTGATTCAACTGAGAGCACCTCAACAGACGTTAGCTCATCAACATCCTCAGAAAGCACTAGTGATGGAACTAGCAATGCATCGAGCGAATCATCTGATTCAACATCTGGAAATACTGAATCTACAGATAGCTCTGCTTCAACAGGTACCATGGATGGGTCCACGGCAAGTGTTGGAAGCACCAGCTCTGTTGATACTTCTACCGATGGTTCAAGCGAAGGGTCTACAGATAGCTCCACTGATGGCTCTACAGATAGTTCCACCGATGATTCATCTGATGGTTCGACTGATAGCACGACTGATGGAACAACTGATGTTTCAGGCTCGACTGATGTTTCAGGATCGACTGATGTTTCTGGTTCGACTGATGTTTCAGGTTCGACTGATGTTTCTGGTTCGACTGATATTTCAGGATCGACTGATGTTTCTGGTTCGACTGATGTTTCTGGTTCGACTGATGTTTCAGGTTCGACTGATATTTCAGGTTCGACTGATTCGTCTGTATCTACTGAGTCTACTGTCGAACAAAGCTCTGGTTCAACAGAGAGTACAACGGAAGGGTCAAGCGACGGTTCTACTACTGAAGGCGTTTCGTCTTCAACTGTGGATGCTAGCTCTGGCTCTACAGAAAGTTCAGCTTCCACCGAAAGCTCAAGTTCGTCCGACAGTACAGAAAGCTCTACTGATATATCTGAAACCACAGGACTGTCAAGCTCAACGGAATCATCTGAATCCACTGCATCTAGTGATGTTTCCTCCACAGAATCTTCTGACACCACTGGCTCTACCGATATTTCCTCGTCTGTCTCTTCTGACTCTACAGACACCACTGAGAGCGGAGGTACAACGGAAAGTGGGGCGACTACTGACACCACATCTGAAAGCTCAACAGACAGTTCATTGTCAACTGACAGTTCATTGTCAACTGACAGTTCATTGTCAACTGACAGTTCATTGTCAACTGACAGTTCATTGTCAACAGACAGTTCACTCTCAACAGACAGTTCACTCTCAACAGACAGTTCACTCTCAACAGACAGTTCACTGTCAACAGAGGAGGATACTACCAGCGATATTTGGAGCACTTCCAGTTCAGATACCGACTCCAGTACGCCACACACTTGGGAGACGACTCTTACACCTAAGCAAAAAGACCTTCGTAAATGTAAACCGAAGAAGTCGAATTGCGAGAAGTCCAAGTTTGGTTGTTGTCCTGATGGCAAGTCGACGCCCAAAGGTCCATTTGACGAGGGTTGTCCCATTGCGAAAACTTGTGCTGACACAGAATTCGGTTGCTGCTCAGACGGAGTTTCTCCAGCCACTGGCAAGAAGAATAAGGGTTGTCCTAAATCAGATTGTGCGGAGACTCTCTTTGGTTGTTGTTCCGATAAATACACAGCTGCACAGGGTGAGGATGATGAGGGATGCCCAGAACCAACAACATTATCGCCAACAACTACGCCAGAAGAAACGACGATTGAGTCATCGACAGATGACGGCTCCGGTGATGTTAGTCTGTCAACAGAGATGGACACCGCTGTTACATCATGCTCCTTTACCGAGTTCAGTTGTTGTCCTGATGGAAAGACACCTGCCAGGGGCGAAAATTTCGCTGGCTGCCCAGAGGAAGAGGTTCGTCGAGGTTGTGATAGCTATGAGCATGGTTGTTGCCCAGATCGTCGTACACCTGCTGCCGGTCCCAATGGAGAAGGTTGCACTGCCTGCACTAATGAACCCTTCGGTTGCTGCCCAGATAACCAGACGCCCGCTCACGGCCCTCAAGGCGAGGGCTGCTGCATTAATACAGCTTACGGTTGCTGTCCCGACAATATAAGGCCTGCATATGGACCCAACTCAGAGGGCTGCGAATGTACAGACTCTCCATATGGTTGTTGTGCGGACAAAAAGACTCACGCACGCGGATACCAACAAGAAGGTTGCCCATGTGAGACCACACAGCACGGCTGTTGTCCCGACAAGATAACGGCTGCCAGCGGACCCAAATTTATGGGATGTCCCTGCGAAACAACGCAATTTGGCTGTTGCCCAGATGGACTCTCCTTTGCCGCAGGACCACGTAATCAAGGCTGCCACTGTTCTCAGTCAGAGTACAATTGTTGTGAGGATGGTAAGACACCAGCTAAGGGACCCAACTTTGAGGGCTGCACCTGTGTGGAGACCAAGTTTGGCTGTTGTCCTGATGGCGTTACCAAGGCTGAGGATGAAAAGTTCGGCGGTTGCATTAATGTTCAAGAACCCCCACAAAAGGATTGCGGCCTGTCCAAAGAACTTGGAAACTGTACCAACTTTAGTGTCAAATACTACTTTAACCCATCCGATGGGCGATGTGCTCAATTCTGGTATGGCGGTTGTGGAGGCAATGGTAATCGATTCGAGACCAAGGCTGACTGCCAGGACACGTGTCAGGAGTATACCGGTGAACACGTTTGCCAGCTACCCAAGAGCTCTGGACCCTGTAAATCCTTTTCCAACAAATGGTACTTCGATACAGATAGAAATCGGTGCGAGGAGTTCCAATATGGCGGATGCTATGGCACCAACAATCGCTTCAACAGTCTCGAAGAGTGCCAGGGAACTTGTGCAATCAGCGAGAGCATGCGTAAGAAAATATTATCGAATTTACTAGCACAGAAGGTTAAATCAATTATAAACTGTGTATATATTCTTTATAATTTAGCTGCCTGCGAACAGCCAGTGGAGAGCGGACCCTGCGCCGGCAACTATGAGCGTTGGTACTACGATAACCAGACGGATGTGTGTCGTTCATTCAGATATGGTGGTTGCAAGGGTAACAAGAATAACTTCCCCACGGAACATGCCTGCAGTTACAGCTGTCGCCAGCCTGGTGTGCTTAAAGGTTTGAGATTTCATATATTTATTTACCATGGATTGGTATCGTTTTATTTATTATATGTATTAGTAATGTCTTGTCTAGGTTTAAGCTTTATTTTACTTTACGTTATTATTTTATCCTGGTTAACGGTATATTTTTTTACAATTTCATTTTATTTGCTTGACTTTTGTCTGTGCATGGTTGTTTGTTGCTTGCTATATCCTACACTTACATCTATACCCTGAACTCCTGCACGTTATACTCGTAACACACACAAACACACTCCCAGAGCAATGCTCACTGCCTAAGCAAACCGGTGATTGCAGCGAGAATCATGCCAGATGGCAGTTCTCAACAAGCGAGAAGCGCTGCTTGCCTTTCTACTACACGGGTTGTGGTGGCAACAAGAACAATTTCCCTACATTGGAATCATGCGAGACTCATTGTCCTCGGCAAGTTGGTAAGCTTTCAATGTTGTGCGATCGCTTTCAATGTGCGCAAAGTTGTACCTCCTCGTTAGATCAATTAGTGTTAACACTGTCTCATTGTCTTAGCCAAGGACATTTGCGATATTCCCGCTGAGATCGGCGAATGCGACAAATATGAAGCTCTCTGGTATTATGATACCAGTTCTACTACCTGTAGACAATTCTACTATGGCGGCTGCGGTGGTAATGAGAATCGTTTCACCAGCGAGGATGCTTGTATGTCTCGCTGCAAGAAAGAGCCGGAGCCGGAGCCTCCAATTCCTCCGCCAGTATCGTCCACAGGGGATATCTGTGATCAACCAGAGGAACGAGGCGATTGTGAGGACTATTCGCTTAAATGGACGTTTAATAAATCAAGAGGTACTTGTTCCCAGTTCTATTATGGTGGCTGTGGAGGCAATGGCAACCGTTTCGAGACCGAATCCGACTGTATTCAGCGCTGTGCCAGGCAGGAGCCGGAGCCGGAACCAGTGCGTCAGTACCCACAAGAACGGCAGCCCGAACGACAACCTGAACGACAACCAGAACGACAACCCGAACGACAACCCGAATCAGGAAACCTATGTGATCAACCAGCGTCTATGGGTGATTGCGATCAGTATGTGCTTAAGTGGAACTACAACTCCACCGCGGGTAGCTGTGTGCAGTTTTACTATGGCGGCTGTGGTGGCAATGATAATCGCTTCGAAACCGAACAGGATTGCACTGCGCGTTGCACTGTAGGCGAGTCTAATACGGCCAAGTGCTTCCTGCCCAAAGAAACTGGCAACTGTTACGAGAATACAGTTCTCTGGTACTACGATAGCCAACAGGGTCTCTGCGATCAGTTCGTTTATACTGGCTGCGGTGGCAATGACAATAAATTTGCAACCGAAGACGATTGCCAGCAAGAATGCGATGCTGCGCAGCATACCTGTTCACTACCCCCAGTCGAGGGTGTTCGTTGTGATAGCAATCCTGTGTTGCGTTGGTACTTTGATGAGCGTACGGGTGGCTGCCACAAATTCCAGTTCACTGGATGCCACGGCAATCGCAACAACTTTGTGTCAGAGCGATCCTGCATGGACTACTGTCGCCATGGTGAGCAGGAGCCAGAACCGGAACCAGAACAGGAACCAGAACCAGAAAAACCGGTAAGCCAATAATTAACTTCCAGCATTGATTCTATAGCTTCCAATGATTTGATTTCTTCAGTCCTATTCGGTATGCACACAACAACCTGAGGCCGGAGAGTGCGACAATCGTACCACTGCCTGGTTCTATGACAATGATAAAATGGCCTGCACAGCCTTCACCTACAGTGGCTGCGGTGGTAACGGCAATCGTTTTGAGACGCGCGATCAATGCGAGCGCCAGTGCGGAGAGTTTAAGGGAGTAGGTAAGTTAGAGTGGTCTTATAATCATTAAGTGTCCTAGTTGTATTAACATCTTGTGTTAGACGTTTGCAATGAGCCGGTGTCAACGGGACCCTGCACACAGTGGCAGACCCGCTATTACTACAATCACGATAAACAGATCTGCGAGCCTTTCACTTACGGTGGTTGCAATGGCACCGGAAACCGCTTCAACGATATATATGAGTGTGAAACGGTTTGTGTTGCGGGTCGCGAGCCACAGTCCCCCTTGGGTACGGCTAAAGGTAACAAAAATTGATGTTGATTCGAGTCGAGAGCAATACGCTTAATATGATTTTGTTTTAATTTCGATTTTGTCTGGACGTAAGTAGATATCTGTCGACTACCTGTGATCATCGGTGTGTGCAATGGACGTTCGGTGCAGGAGCGTCGTTGGTACTACGACGATGAGCGCGGCACTTGTGTGTCCTTTATTTACTCGGGTTGTTCTGGCAACCAAAACAATTTCCGTTCCTTTGAAGCATGCACAAATCAATGCGGAAGTAAGCCTGCCACAAAGCTTTAAAACCTGCACCCGTGCACCACACACACACAAATTCAATACCCACACAATTCTGCACCTAATCCTACTTTGAAACTGCTTGTTCGATTAAGCGTAGACATATCACTCTTCAGTAGTATTTAGTTAGTGCACCCTCACTAGACTTAAGATTGCACGCAAATTTGTAGTCTAGCTGGGCTGTAGCTTTCGAGAACAAATCTGAGTATACAACTTTTCACAGCCCCTGTCAACAATGAGGGATCCAATGAGGTATCTCCCAACCGCTGCGAGGCCTACGATAACAAGTGTCGTGATCTGCGCTGTCCCTATGGCTTGCGTCGCGTGCCCGCCGAGTCGCAGCCGGAGTGCGAGCAATGCATTTGTGTGAATCCTTGCGAGGGGTACCCCTGTCCCGACCACCAACAATGTGCTATTGATGTACCCAACAACGGTGATCGCGAACATGAGTATGTCCCCGTCTGTCGTGATAGAAATAAGCCTGGTGTCTGCCCACAGTTGGCGGCCAATGCCAGCGAATGCGCCGTGGAATGCTACACGGATGCCGACTGTCGTGGCGATAATAAATGTTGCAGCGATGGCTGTGGACAACTGTGCGTGGGTCCGTCACGACCCACCCGACGACCTGAGACTCCACCACCGCCAGTCATCTATCCAGGCGAGGAGAGAGCTTCACTTATTCCTAAGCAGCCACAGGAACTGGATGTGCAGGCCTCAATTGGCGGCATTGCAGTACTGCGCTGCTTTGCAGCGGGCACCCCGGCACCGAATATTACCTGGTCCCTCAAGGATTTGGTAGTAAGTATTGATATGCATTGTAATGAAGTGACAATTTAATGCACATTTTTCAACAGATTGACACGAACCAAGGACGGTATGTGCTCACCTCTAACGGAGACCTGACCATTGTCCAGGTGCGTCAAACTGATGATGGTACCTATGTCTGCGTGGCCAGCAACGGACTCGGCGAGCCAGTACGTCGCGAAGTTGTCATGCAAGTAACAGGTGCGTGGTATTCATTAACTATATAATATTTCAATAGCCTTTGAAAATTCACATGAGACCAAAACTAAATAAGGGAATGCATTTAAATTGTGGATTCCATTTTGCAAATATTCCACTGCCCAAGCTTTGTCAAAACACAGCCGATTGCCACAATCAATTTCCTTTTGATCGTTGTTGTGCATAAAAAATAATACTATATTTATGGGCTCATGGTATGTGTTAGTCGAGCTGCCTCTAATGAAGCATTCTTAATTCTTATTGCTCTGTTTTTACAATTTACGGTACTCGATTGGTCCATAAGTAATTTTTGATTGCCTATGCGAACTTCGGACTTTCGAAGTTTATTAGTTAAGGTTTTTGTTCTCGCTTGATTTGGTGTTGGCATCATTATTAACTGCATTTTTTTTACGGCAAATTTGCATGTTGCTTGCTTTTAACCCCTTGCATGTTGTTGTATTGATGTTGGTGTTGGTAGAACCTAAGAATACACCGGCCTACATCTATGGTGGTAACAACGTTACGCAAATTGTACAATTGAACCGACCGGCATTGCTTCGTTGCCCGGCTGGTGGCCATCCGGCACCACATGTCAGCTGGTGGCGCAACAATCAACATATTGGCATGAGCGGCGGAAGAAGTCGTGGTGTAATGAATCGTGACTACTCGTTATTCCTCGCTTCTGTACAATTGTCTGACCTGGGCTTGTATATTTGCGATGTCTACAACAGTAGGGGACGTCCGGTTTCGCTGCATGTTACACTCAAGGCGGTGGGTCCAGCACGCGCTATGAACAAAGACGATACCAAATACTTGCAGTATATTATTGACCCTGCGACGGCGCCGGTCGCACCAGTGCCGAGATATCCTTACAGGGCAATGCGCCCGGTCTATGTGCCACCTCCCGTAGTTCGAGATCCGCGAAGTAAGTACTAATTGCACGATTTGGTTCGGAATGGCTTGGTTTGTGTGCCTCAATTTGTGTCTAGTGCTGCAGCTAATCTGGAATGTTATCAATTATATGTTCACAGTTAATGCTGAAGCTGTGATTGGCTTGGATCCGCAAAACAGCTACACGCCCGGCTCGACAATTGCAATTGGTTGCTCTGTGCAGGGCTATCCGGCACCGGAAGTGACCTGGACCAAGGATAAGAATCCTTTGGCGAACAATGAGCGCATTCAAATAACTTGTAAGAATTCCATAGCTATCTATCTTTCGCTCGTAATGCTCTATGAGAGTTGCTGATATATGAGATGTACTATTTTTCATATTTATTGATTCTGTGTCTTTTCACCAGCCCAACCGCATCGTTTGATAATCCACGATGTTACCACAGGGGATACCGGACTCTATGGCTGCACTGCCCGCAATGCCTTCAGCTACAGCACCAGCGAGAACACAGTTACAATTAATTGTAAGTGGCTGTTCGATCCATTAATGGTGTTAAGATTTAAGATTAAAACTTATATTTCATATGTCTTGCAGCTGCCATACCGATATCGCCCGAATGTTTTGACAATCCGTACTTTGCGAACTGCAAAATGATCGTAGAGGGCTCGTACTGCGGGCATGTTTATTATGCCAAATTCTGCTGTAGATCCTGCACATTGGCCGGCCAGATAGGGCAGCCTCATCCCAATGCGATTTAATTCCATACTACCAAACTTTCAAGCTTAGCATATTGGTTGGACTTCATTGAATTGAGTTAAACCAAAAAATATTCGGAAAATGAGCAACGTCACAAGCCAGCAGAGAGAAAAAGAAACAAAACAAAAAAGAAATAAATAAACCGCCAATCGCTTTGCCCACAGATCAAGTACATGTAAGGAACGTTTTAATTAGTATCCTATCTACGACGATTTCTTCCAGCACAAAAGAAAATAGTATTAGTTTTTGTTCCTATTTATTCTTGATTTAAATTCCTCCATAGAAAGTGGCTAAAACTTATTTCCATTTTATATATTATTTAGTGTTTTTCTACGATATTTGTGCAACGATTAAAGCAATTTAAGTCTGTAAATAAATCAAAAATTATGTAAAAATAAAAGAGTGCAAATAAATAAATGTGATATTTATTTTCCTAATGCATATATAGAATATTATGCATACAATATATTCATAGAGCAATTCAAATCTCCAACAATGTGGCAACGCTGCACGGCAAGGGGTTATTGATTTTTCACCAAGCGCCACGCTGCAGCTGTTTGTTGGATTCTGCGCTGTACGCTCCAGGGTGGATTGGAGTTTGGAGTAGTACACAGAGTGATAATAAAATTTGTTTGGGTTTGTCATCGCGTGCAATTTTTTGTAAGAATAATTTGAACGAGACAAACATAGGTTAAATATGGAGGATAGCGGTATTGATAGTGAAGATAGACAGTCCAATATATATGAGGATGGTGCAGCAGGTTTGCTGGTAAGCGGTCAACTAGCTCACAACACACACAATAGCTCATGGCCAAGCCCATTGCAGAAAACTGCCAGTGGAGCGCCCAAACATATGTCGGATCTGGAGTTTGAGGTGGCATTTAGGGGTGCCAGCAAGGTATATGCGCCAACTACAATTGAAATCGATGACGATAGGGCTGTTCGAGGGACAGAGCGCAACGAGCCGCCAAACACCTGCCGCATACTGCAACGAAAATTGGAGCTGAAGGTCGAGCGGGCCCGGCGCAACTATACACAGTACCAAGAGGAGCAGGTGTGTACACTCGGCTATAAATCAAGTTGATGTCCTTGAACTAATACAATTGCGGTCAATTTCAGGCAACTAAAACACAAGCAGCCACACTCATACCTATCAATCGGCTGCCCATACCGGGCGAACCGGAGCAGAAGCCGCTCGTCGATTATAAGTCTGAGAGCAGCGATGAGGCGGAAGAGATATCGTTCTTCCCGGCACAGCTGAAGCGTGTCAAACGACGTCAGCAGAATCATGAACTTACCGATACTTTTAGTATACAAGAGATGACTATAGAGTCTGATTTGGAGTCCGATGACAGCGGTGGCACTCAAAACCTCGAACTACTCTTGCCCTCCATGAAATCAAATATTTTGGATAAGTTGAAGAGCTGTTTTGGGTGCTGCCAGCGCAGGTAATGCACGAAGAAACAGCCCTTTCACAGTCGGTCCAGGCACAAACACGTTATTGACAGGCACTCGAAATTCACTTGTAGACACTATATGCAGAAATACATCTATAAATAATTGCCAATACTAATCAGTAAATACATGTTCATTTATTTGTTTTCACATAGAAAACAATAAAAAAAATTATCTCATTAAAAACATATTTCAGACTTTTTAATTATCCGTATTTAATGTGAGGCAGACACCCTGCAATATCCAGTGACTCAGATCCTCAGAGGTGGCCAAATTCGCCTCAAAAACCAGACCAACGCCCATCGCATTGCGGCGCAGTGATGTGGTGTACACAGGGGCCAGGAATGTGTTCTGCAATGTGCAGAGTTATGTAATTAAGGAATTATATATGATATAGTCTTTATTCTAATTAGGTTTGGAAACCGTTGGAACTAGTGTTGTAATAATTTGGTTTCTTAAGCACCACAAATAATTTAGTTTGTACCATTAAAAACGGTTTTATGTTGTCTATTCAGAACAACTCGAATAATGAGTGTGCAGGTTTAATTCCCATATACAGTGCCCCTTTATCTCTGTCAAATAAGTAAAAGCAACCCCGCATTTAAAATCAGAAACAATTAGCACAACAGCTGCCCCATTAGCTGTGGTGGATGCGGAAGCTGTTGGTAATTTAGAGCAAAGCATTTAAACAAATATCAGCGAGGGCGAGCCAACTGCCCCCAGTAACCCTCCTTCTCGTTGCTAAAGTCCACCCAACGCATATGTAGATACAGGAGGACATTAGTACTTGTCACTTGCAGACGGCGTCAAGTCCAGGCCGGAAGCTAGCCAGTGTCAAGATAAAAATATACAAACCTGTAGCTTCAGCCGGTGCGCTTCAATGGGCACCACAGCCAAAATGGGCAGCTCCTCGACCAGAACTTTTGGCTTCGAGCGCATCAGCTGATTAGCTTGCATGTCAAACCGTGCGCCCTCTATATAAAGACCGTGCACATAGCAGCCCTGTAGAAAGTTGAACGATTAAAATGCAAACAGAATTGCTAATTACCAAATTAGTGGCAGGCGGTGGGCGGTTCTAACGGTCATGTTGGGGTCATAGTTTTGCATTTAGAACTATGCACACTCGCATCGACTCACCGTTGATGGGCGCTCCTCAACGTCGTCGGGCTCTGAGTAGGCGGTCACATAGGTGAACAGCGTGGAGCGATCCAGGGGCCAGGCGTTCTTGCGACAGGCAATCTGTAGAAACGCAACATTGAATGCAAAGCTAACAAAATGAATATGAGTGGAGGCCCATTTCTAACCTGAACCAGGGCCGTGAGGTAGCTCTGCGGTATATGCAGTCCAGACAGCCACATGACCAGCGGCTCTCCCGAGATCGACCAATACTTGTACTGCACGGCCCGTTTCTAAAATGTCAGGTGAAAGCGAATTGTTGATTAGTGAATTGGACATGAGGGCTGCACCTGACTGATTTTGCGCCAAGCTGATTAATGAGTTGCGACAGTGGCCACGATGGTGGTTTGAGGATGTTGAGATGGGAGGGGGTGACATACCTTTAAATGCTCCAGCCAGCTAGCTAACTGCTTGCATGTAGCCGGAGCCAGTTTGCTCCACACGGCTGGCAGCAGGCCATTAAATAACGAGTTGGCAATGTTGTCCAGGACATTGTCCATGCCGATTTCGCCAGCGATGGCCTGCGGAGAGCATGCAATTAAATTAAAAGGCACAATGACAACACACATGCATGCATGTGCATGTGAATGGGTGTTTGACTATTTTTGTGGGCGTAGCAGCATCCGTGCCAAGACAATGGCACGACGGCTGAGTTCATTTGCATTTGTAAATTTATTTTGGCAACAAAATGCATCTGCCCAACTAAGGACCGCATTCAAAGTTCCTCCGTGGGTGGGACGTGGCGACCACGAGAAGCATTGGTTGGCAGCCAAGTTGGCAAATGCATAAGAAAAATGCAAAACAAAGCTGAGGGATTAATGTGAGCTCTCAATTGACAGGCGAGGCGAAAGCCAGAGCCATTTCAATCGATTGGTTAGTTACCTTGCGAAGCAACTCCAGCGATTTCTTAATGCGCACCACCAGAATGTTAAAGCGGTCCAGCTCCTGTAATAGCACCACACCAGTGGGTGACAGGCTCATCTGGATTTGTTTGCGTATGCGCCAAGTCTCGAAGGCGGGTGGCAGCTTTTTCAGTATTCCCGCTGCCACAAGGTCGATGAAGTCGTCTCGGCTGATGCCGCCCGTACCCTCACCTACAATATACAAGTGCTAAGTTTGTATTGATAATGGGAGAGAAATCCAACGATTTAATGTATGCAATGGTTGTGGTTATTACCATAGCCCTTTTTTAATACCATTTAGTTTGGTAAATAGTAATTTTTATTAATTTGCCTTTTATCTGGCTGACTTTTTCTGTGCTTTATTTAAATTATTTTATATAAATTGTCAATTAGCAAATACTAAAGCTCATGAATATGCAAATTGTCAGCATTTTTCAGAGAATTACACAATTTTAGTGAAGCATATAGGCTGGGAAGCCGTGTCAAAGACAATTCAATTTTTCCATTTATCATTCCTAGTAGAAATTCGTTACTTTTTTGCAAGCTTTAAATACACAACTACCTAATCGTTATGTAAGTATAAAGGTTAACGTCAAGCCTGTTTACAGGGTATTTGATTAGTTTTTAACTTAATGTCGAATTTAGTATGATGGTAAATTGAAATAAAATTGTAAATCTGTTCGATTGTGCTTGGTAAATGGTTGGCCTTTTCATCAATTTTTTTTTCGTTCAATGTTTTATTTAAATTTCTTTCTATGAGGTAGTGCTCAAGGAGGGTGGTTTCGTTTACATAAAATACTTTACCAGCTATGTCGACGTTCGGTGTCCACTTGGTTACTACGGTTGCGTAAGAGATTTCCAAAAAAGTATTACAAATTTGGCTGAATTGTGTATATGTATGAGTATGTGATATATAGAGTAATACAAATGTGTGAATGCATGTAAGAATATGACAAAATCGGCTGTGGGCTCGGGTATAAGGGCAAAGTGCCCTTTTAACACGCTTAAACTCGTGACGCAAAATTATCGACTTTCGAGTGATGTTTTCGCCAATTTTTGTTGCTGCCAATGCGGATGCGGATGCGGATGCAGGCATGAATGTATATGGCGGAGAGTGCGGTTCGGTTTAAACTGCATTTGCCGGCATGGGAGTGGCATAAATGAGTGAACGTGTCCAAGTGTGTGTGTGTGTTAGCATCTATTTTAATTTTTAATGTATGCCCTGGTATTGCATGCCGGCTATAATGGTGCATGCAATAAAGTTAATTGCAAAACCGCAACTAATTAATTAAATTAAATTAAAAATTTAACATTCCAAAAATGCAACAGCAATGAAAATCAACAAGATAAAATGTAATAAACGGCTGACAATTGGCACACGTTGCAAATTAAACCATTCATGTACGTACTCGTAATTGGCTTCCGCTCTTAACCGAACTGTCAAACACTTTATCGAAATCGAATGCATGTGTTCACATATATGTATATAGGTAAAAGTAAAATTAAAGCTGTTTTAAAAGAAACCTGCCATGTTGCAAATCATATTTTAGTTCATAAATAGTAAAACACTCTGCAGACTTAGACAAAAACGTACATTTAAAAATGAAATTTAAAAAAAAAAGAAGTTAAATGACTAAATATATACAGAAAAAGCTGAATTCTTTGCCATAAAATCAATATACCCAGAAGCATTACGTGTGGCCTATTGGCTAGTCACTTACCAGTTTGTGGCTGCAACTCAATCAGGCTGTTCCAAATGTTGCGCGCGGCCATTGTGTAATAACCGATTTCCGCGTTTGGATGCAAACCAAATACATCCGGCTTATTGACCAGAGGCAGTTTGTCAATGTGGACTGTTATCAATGCATTACGTATGTAAAACTGGTTATGTCGCAACACATGTACCACGAACAAGTACTCACCTATGAAGTCCTCTTTTAGCACGGTCTCATCATCCGGCAAGCAATAGTCCACGTTCTCGTCCTCATAGAAGTGAAACGATTGAAATTCGTCGAATAGAAAGTCTCCCATATATTCATTCATATAGCAGTTGGTAATGCGTCTATCAAAATCGTCAATTACTCGACCGCCGTACATGACCTCGCCAATAAGATACTTAAGACTATTCCAGGGTATCTTGTCTTCGGCACAGCGACTCAAATAATTGCGTAGTATTTCTGTGCATACTTCAAAGTCTGTATCGTTAAAATCGTATGCTATGTTCCAGCCGAGCTTATCGTATTTGCGGCGTTCCTAAGGGATAAAAGTGAAATTCATAGTGAGGGAAGCAGGAGCAGGGTGCATAGATTAATCGAGGAAACAGTAACTGCGCCATCAATAACAGTTTGTTGAACAAACAGCACACTGGCAAGTTGGGCGCAGTTGTGTTTGAAATGCTTTCAACAAACAGCCAAAAATGAACAAATTAATAAATAAAGAAGTGCATGGACCAGCTGGAAGAGCGGCGTCAGAACTTCGAGTGCAGCTACAAATTTTGGGTTTTTGCTATCCTTTAAAATACAATACTTACTTGCACGACAGCATGGAAGAATGCGAGTACATAGATTAATGCACGATAGGCGCGATGGGAGCACGCCTCCAAACGATCCTGACGCACTTTGAAGAAAGTCGAGCGTAGATTAAGCTTCAACCCGTTTGGCGGCTCAGTGACCACTAAATCACAGATAATTAAAACAATTTATATTTAATGACATATTGGCATAATAGATATTTACCTTTTAGCGACTTTTGCAATATGCCAATAGGAAAGGTCGGTGTTGGATCTGTAGTGATCCATAATCGAAAATCGGGATGCGGACTTTCAATTTTATCCAAAATCTTTTCCAATTCTCGCACAAATTTTACCAACAAATGACCATTTTGCAGCATCAACCATTGACCCTGACGGAGCGCACTATCCAGCATATTTAGCGCTGCCTTCTCCTGACCCTGACCAAGCGATATATGACAGAAATTGCCCATGCCGCCTAGAATGACATCGGCCAGCTTGATAAGATCATTGGTTGGATCTGAGCCGGCGCTTAGTATAAAGCAAACGGGTATCGACGAGGTCGTTTGTTCATAAACGGCAGATAAGCTCACAACCGGCGGCATAATATAGAATTCATCCATGGTGTCCACAATATATTGATTTATGCAACGGAAAATTCGATCCACACGGAAACAGCGCAGGAATAGCAATTTCTGTGGTGAAAGCATGAGAAATTATTCGGTTTTATGCGATGGACATTCTAATAACACAATGACAACGCCACTGACTGACGGCGCTCATCAATGAGTTACTCCTTAGTCCTTGCCAGCACTTGTATTGTTGCTGTTGCTGTTGCCGTTGCCATCGCTCTTGCGGTTTCCAGCTCAACTCAAGTGCAAATTGGGCTCGCCGCTGGTTTCAAGTGCGACTGCTGGCGTAAATTGCCGCTCATCTAATGGCTTGGAAAATTGATAAAATATGGTAATGCACACACCATCGCATACACAAATATACACAAACGCACACACATACACACACACAGATTCAACCATACTGGCTGACAAAAACAGGCTGCTAATAACTTGAGCAGAAAATGTGCGCCAAAGTTGCAGGACAGAGCAAAAGTCGAATAAAACTGAACACCCAGACTCTGCGTATGTGTGTGTGTGTGTGCATTTGAGTGTGTGCTTGTGTGTGTGAGTCTTGTACATAATAATCCACTAGAATCGAGAATAAAGTACGAAATCCAATAACGCTCGATGGCAACGGCAGCTCCTGGCAAGGACCTGCACTCGCTCTCGCACTCGGACCGAGGAGCAGCCACTTGAAGCTGAAAGCATGCAAAACGAAAGTACAGAGCAGTGCCAGCACTTGCCTGGAATGCATTGCATTTGATGTTGTAGTCACCGGGGCTTGCCACCTCCTCAGGATTCTCCAAGTCGAACCACTACACCATGGGCCATGGGCATTCGCAGATAAGTGCAAACAGAATGAGCATCGGCAACGGAAGCCAGTGAATGCCACATGTCACAGCAGCCGTTTCAGCGCCCATCCAAAGTCCAAAATTGTTGTCATCGTTGTTATTATAGTTGTTGTTGTTGTTGTTATGCATTTCATGGCATAGTCCCAGGAGTAGCAGTTGATAACAGAACATTGAAATGGACGTCGATATGAAGATGGCACCAAAAATATAAAAACAGAAAACATAAAATGGACGACATGAATATTGCTAACCTATTATCGTTCAAATACTGATACTGGTATTTGTGGTGTATTGACAAATTCTTAAACACAAACATGGTGAGGAATAAGTCAATAATAAGACTTTAACTAAGCAAATCCAAATATGTAAGAATATGAAAAATGAAAAAAACTTTCAGAATTCGTGCAAAGAAAAAATATTTAAAAGTTTCAAGAAAGATAGTTAAGTGCATACTGTTAGTGTTTATACAAGATATGTAAGATATTATCCTTGTCAACTAATAAATTCGGTTCTTTGTTTTTATACGAAAATGCTTCTGACACAAGTTTTGACAAAAGTCTTACATTTTTTAAAAGTTAACTAAAATCTTATTGCAAATAGGGTTTCGGACACATATACTTTGATGCGGACTTACCGTTTTCCACTGTTCCAAATTAAGACTAAAGTGATCTGGCAGTGTGCCAAATGGATCGGGAAAATCAAAAGCCAATTTCAGTAGATCCTCCCAGCTCTTCTCGGGCAGCCACTTGGTGGGATTGCTGCGTTCGCTCTTTGTCAACGCGATGTTGCCTTTGATAAAGAAGTCAATTTCCTGTTGCGATAGGACGCCATCGCGCTGCGACAGCTTTGTGGCTATCTGAAACGAGAAGAGCAGCTTGTGCCGCTCAAAAATGCCCGTACAACCATAGCAGTATACATTCTCCGTCAGTGTTTTGATAATGTTTACCAAACGTTTGGCCAACACCGTGTCTGGCACGGCTTTTCGCAGGGAGTAGATGAACACATCAAGATAGGCGGCAAGCGCATACTGATACATGCTGTTCACTGTGGCCATGTCGGCGAGGGCGAAGAAGAGAACTGCTCCACGCTTCGCAGCCGGTCGATAGCCATTACGTAGAATTTCAATGTCGGCGGCAGTGTCGCTGGCCAGCTTCAGTTGTTCCATGACAAGGGCGGCCTTAGATTTAGTATTCTCCAGGGTTGCGATCAGCTCGACGTTATCCAACATGTTGCCTGTTGAGGTGGCCAGTTCGCGCAAGAGAGAATCTTCGAGTTGCTGGAGAAGCTGTTTGTTTTCGCTGGTTTGTGCTATCAGATCTGAGCGTTGTTGCTCCAGATCTGGGCGCTCAGTGCCGACCACAACGCTAAGCAGTTGATCTTCCAGGCCAGTCTGTGTCACTGTGTAGTTGATCACCAATGCCTTTGCGTAAACAGCAGGATCAAACTTTGGATTAGAGAACTTTGTCGTTAAATAGAGGCGAAATTTGTGATCCCAGTCAACTTCCTTGTCGCCTAAAATTGTAAACTTGCGGCCTCCCTGCATGCGAATGTTCTTCTGCAGGACATCGTCAATGACCGGATCAATGTAATCATCCACATCCTCAAAAAGGACCGGCCACCCATACATTATGGATATTTCCAGCTGCTTCAGGAAGTCCGCATCAGAAAATGACAGTATCTTGAGATTGTTGCGCGCCTCCCTCTTTCGTATCCATTGCAGCGCCTGCAACTGGGGATCTATGCAAAGTGGAAAGCGTGAGGCACGCATGGTCAGAATACCGTTCTGAATGGAGAGCTCGTCTGGCGGCAGGCCTTCGTTAGACCATTGCGAAATCTCAACATCGGTGGTCAATGCGATGTCAATTTTAAAGGGTTCCTTAACTGGTATACCTAACGCAATGATATCCTCCAGCCAGTCATCAAATACCATTGCCTTGCGGAACTCCCAAGTGAAAGCACCCGTGTAGGCCAAAAACGAAGCGCTGATTAGGCAAACACCAACGCTATCGATCAGCTGTTGGCCCAGGCTCGCCATTTCAGCGCTCCAGCGTATCAGCTCCGAAGTCAGACCGCTAATCAGCTTATCGGATGCAATTAAACGGCGTTCAGCCTGTTGCATCATTTCGGTTAAGGCTCTCATTTGCTTCATGGACGTGGCATAGTTCTGATTGAGCTCTGTAAGCTTCTCCTCTAGCTTTTGTATTTCAGAGTTCAAATGAGTCAGCAGCTTGATTTGAACCTCCTGCTCTTCAACTAGGAAATCAAGGCGCTCCTTCTTCGGCTTGACCTCACGATAGACATCAAAGAAGCCGAGAACTGCTTTCACGAACTTTAACAAACCCGCACCGGCAATCGAAATCTTGCCCATGTCATCCAAATTTTGAGTTTTCATGTGATTGCGACAGGAGACAATTTGTTTTTGTGTTAAAGCCTCACAGTCCATTTCCATCAAGCTCTTGAGAAAATTCACATCACTCATCATGCCCTTGGCGCTCTTCCAGCTGATTTCCTTGATACCCTTCAGGATGGCTACGCACTCACACACAACTTGTACGGCAGCCGGAGGCGTGGCAAACGAACGAATCTCAGTGATCTGTGCTTTTTCCAGCTCAGAGAGCGCACGACGGGCTTCTTCGAGCGCTGGCATTGCTTCGGCCAAAATCACTTCGGCCTCTTCTTTTTCAACCGCAATTTGCTTGCCCTTGATTTCCACCTCCACGGATTTCTCAGATGCCTCGCCCTTTTTTGTGTTCGCCTTTTGCGTTGAGGTCTCTATTGTAACCAGCATTGCCTCACACTCCTCTGAAGCAATGGCCACATTCTTCTTTTGCTCCGTCACTATAATGCGCAGTTCGTCGATTTGTACGGAAGCCTCTTCGATTTTCTTGATACCCTCCCCAAGGCGTTCACGCTGCTGCGTGATATGCTTATGCTTCTCTTCTGTGAATAGTTAATTTAATTGTGAGTAGACGTAAGCATCTATATAATTATCAATCTTACCTAATAAGCCAAGATAGGTATTTATGTAGTCCAAATAGTGCTTGGGCGTTACAAAATTACAACGTCGCAGCTTCGTAAGATAATCTTTTGAATACTCCTGAATGGTCATATGTACATGAACCACATGCTCAATAATCGCATCTCGATGAGGAGCGGGAATCATTGCATGCTCGGTAAGGAACAACTTAGCAACAGCATAGAGGGCCTGCTTGGGCCAGGGAAATACCCAATCAATGTACGTGCTGCCAATTAGACCCGGGAAACTTCGGCAGCGATTGCGCAGCGCGTCACCAGAAGGCGACATGCAGAGGACCACATGTAGGTTCTCGGCACAGGTACGCAGGAAATACGCCCAAACTGAGTCTCTAAAAGAGCAGACTTCGACGTATCATCAAAATAGTACTAAAATAGAACAGTCACTTACTTGGATGCAGAAAGGCCTTCCTCTTCGGCAAATTTGCGGACTTGATTAACAATGCCATCCTTATCCTCATCTGAAAATAGCGCAGGCACTTGGCCAACTGTCAGAATGTTGTTGATCAACTCCAAGAAGCTTTCCTCGGCTATCTGCAAGTAAAAAGTGAGTCTAACCAAGCTCAGCTTTAACTTTGGTCAATACACACCTGAGCAGTTGTGAACAGGAACACAACCTTCTTGCGTCTAACTCCAGCGATGTTGTATAGCGCTTTCAGATCTTCGCGGAAGGACGTTTCATTGTAGCCACGGGAAATGGTGATTTCGAACACGTCGCACTCGGCAGCGAAGGATGCAAGGCGGGTAACACACTTCTTGCCACAACCTCCAACACCGATGAGCAACACATGACCGCGATTCATGCGCAGTGTGCGATGCACTCGCGTCAGATGCTCTAAACAATCTTCGAACAAGACCAGCGTCATTTTCACCTTTCGTTCGCAATACTCGCCCAAGATTTCGGTGAACAAACTGAAGACCGCATTGTAGTCCAAGAGATCCTCATAGAGACGCGCCTCGGATTCGTTAGTAAAGTTCCGAAAATCGCCAAAAATTAGCGGATCTCGTAACACATAGTCCTTGAGCGATAGAATCACTTCAGGACCTTCATCGCCCTCCTCTTCCTCTTCCCCGCCTTCCTCATCAGCTGCCGCTCCAGCGGAGTCGTCTGCTAGAGCATCGTAAAGTAATCGGGCCTGTGCTTCAGCCGCTGCCGCCTCCAAGTCGATGAAACCATGTTCTTCCTCGAATTCGGGTGGAAACCGTTCGGTCACCTCGACGGCAAGACACCGACGCACATTGGTTATCTCCTATTAATTGAAATTTTACAAAAGTCGTTGGCTCATTTTTGGATAGTTCATTTACCGTCTGCGATATGAGGCGATCGCATATTATTCTGGTGAATTCATTACGCCAGACACGTATCAGCTCTCGAAGGCCTTTGAAGCACTCGGGCTGAATCAATAGCATGCCCGCAAAGATGCGCGACAGATCCTTCAGATTGAAAATGTAATGGAACTTCGAGGGCGTTGGTGGCAGATCCATAATGACAATCTGACGATATAAATGACAACAGCAGTAATTAGAGCAAACATTTATAAGTGGCAAGTGCCACGCCTTTTGCCCTACGCCCTACACACTGCGCCCTACGTCGCCCAACAGCAGTAGAACTACACAAATCAATTTTATCTCAACTACCAGCAATATGCATTCAAATGTTGAGCATCCTTAGCGAGACAGCAGCTGGAGAGTTGGACAACTTGCATTTACTTGAATTTTCAGCTATTATCGAGTTGCAGTCCCACCTTACTCGCAGTCCCCAGCTCGGCAATTCTATTCAAATAATTCATTAAATTCCATTTCGTGGGACATTAATATCTTTTGGCCTGGCGCGTCGAGTGTGTAAGGAAGACATACGAACTAGACACGCCTGGGTACTACTTCTTATTCGACTGAAACTGGAAGTTGCAGGTGTGAGTAAATCATTTATTTTTTTCGTTTTTGGGCAGTCGCTGAGGAAGCTCCATTAGGGTTGGATGTTGCCTCTGCTCATGCTGCTTGTGGCAATTGTGGCGACAAATGCATTTTTATCTGCACGCAATGAAATGTGATAATATTTTAGTGTCAACAATTGTTAAAAGCACCATAAACTAATGCTTCTGCCTTCGGATGGCAAACCATTTTACGAAAAAGAGCCATCTACAGTTCAATACTTGAACATAATCAAATTTTGTTCAAGCCAAGATGTGCTAGCAAAGATAGGCGGAACACCGAGACAGACACAGTCACAGTCAACTAGGCAGCAGTCGAACCGGGTGACCATTGTGCTAAAGGCCAAGTAGGAAACGGCAACGGCATCAGCATTCGTCCTGCCCAGCACCCTCACCCTGACTCTGACTGTACAAGTTCTGGGGTGCTGGTGCTGGTGCAGTGCCACCAGCATTGAGTTGTACTCGAAAAACCAATGGAGCAGCTAAGGGGGAGGACGCTCGTCGGAGTGCATTACAGACCATTGAATAATTTCCATTGTATGGGGAGGAGGCAGCAAAGCAGATTATGAAAAATTGGCGTTATTTGCATATGTAAATCGAATTTCATAAAATTTGTGAGAGACTTTTAAAGCACTCTTCAGAATGCGCTAGCTTTTTTTTCCTTCCAGGCCTTAGAACAGATTTTCCATAAATTTTAACAAAATACGTTTCTCGTTTAACAGTTTGAAAGAATAATTTCGAAGTGGGTCGTTATTAGAGTCGAATATGTTTTGTTGAATTTGTTGTAAATGTTTTTAGTTAAATACAACATTCATAAGTTTGCTGAATAATTGGGTTGAGAGTGCTAGTAACAAGTTATGCTATTGGTTGGAACTATATCCAGCACATACAAGTTTTAAAAAATGATGATATTAGTGAGCTAATAGAAATAAATATAATATCTATGATAACAACCTTGAACAACTTGAGAGTCATCTCGACAATAATATCGGCAATCATCATATAGCGTTTTTGGAACTTCGTATACGTTAAATGGCCTTTAAAGATGGATGAATAGATTTGTATGAGGGACTTATCATTGGGGAAAACAATGTTGTAGGTGGAGAACATGCTGATAAAGCGTGGATCGACTTCGTTGCGACCGCCGCCAGCGGTGCCCATGGCCGCATAGAATGTCATGTCCTTAAACTTTTTCCAGTTGAGATCTTTCTCACGGTCATATATGCCACCCCGCTCAAAGAACAATTTCAGCAGCGCAATCGGCTGTTGTGTACCATATCTGTGGATTAGAGTAAAGTTGGCATATGTGGAGTGGTTATGGGGAAACAGAGACGGCTGAACTGACGCTGGCAGTCTCCTATTTGCTATACATGTGTGTATCTACTGTACTCACTCATCCACCTGCGGCATGTTCATGTCATCAATAAAGCAGGCTATTTTCTTTCCCATCGGTGGGCCATAAGTATCCTTGGTGCGTTTCTCCACGGCAGCCTCTAACGTACGCTGCACATCCAGCGATGAGGTTCTCGATGAAAAATTAATGTTGAGTATGACCTGAAAAATAAGAAATGAGTCTCAGAGATGCCTGCATTAGCGCGTAACTGCACGTTTGTGTTCGACATTTTTCAATTACATTGACAGCCGGATTTAGATTGCGCAAATATTGCATAATGGTTGCCGTCTTTGATGTGCCCGCCTCGCCCACCAGCAGAACGGGTCGTTTGATCTGCAAAGGCAAACGAAATACGAATGCAATTTAATGGATAGGAGAGTCGAGCCGTGTAATTAGCTGTAGCAGCTCTCTTTTCAACTTACTTCACTCATAAGGCCAAGCAGCCGATTAGTTCGCGTGTTGTCCACAGTAGGCACAAGGATTTCACTAAACTTGACGGTCGGATCATGTTCGTACGACTTGACAATCCATTCCCAGGCCTTCCAGCAGTTATCCTTCATATCCCAAAAGTAATCATATAGTGTTGGCTTACCCTGGGGAATCTGTCCGCCACCGGCAGGATTATCTTGTGTATCGTGGACCAGAGGGAATCCAGCAATGCGTTTCATAAACTCATCGAAAATAATTTGATGCTTTTCCAGTAGGCAAGCGCCCAAAGATCCATAGACGGTCTGCAGAAAGCAACACTCCAAGGTATCCGTATTGTACACCTTTAAGACAGGCTCATCCGAGCTCTTATTCTCGGAAGGGCCATATGTTGGCAGCATGGCATCGTAAAGATTGCAGAACTGCGTTACCATATTGAGATCCGTTTGCATAATGACCATTTTGAGCGGATTGCCTTGTGCGGTGCCATCCACGCCATCCAATATAAAGGCAATGGCTTGGGTAATAATCTTTTCAAAGAAATCGTTGAGCAGCTCCCGCTGCGACTCCGGGCGGCTCAAGACCCAACGCTGCCAATAAGGGCTGTAACGCAAATTTTTGGGGTCCACATAGACCATACCGGCACGGGAGACTGTCGCTGGCGAGGCATAAAACAAATTACCCACCTCGAAGAGCAGCGCACAATAGCTCTCCAGACGGATGCGCTCGCCGTTCGCCAATGTCAACAGCTTGTTATCATCCATTACAGAGTTCATGTTCTCAATCCAAAGTGCATCCACGTCACCATCAAAGCAGGCATAGTGTCGTTCCTGTTTATGTCAGTCGGTTTTGGATTAAATTAGTCTGAGTGTGTTATTCAATGCCAGCAGGGTCCAATTGGATCTAACGCTGACGCTAGCTCTAAAGCGGACAGTATCTGCGATTGTCGGACTCTCAGCATTGTCTGCATGGCGCCATGGCGAGAGTTGGTGCAAGGGCAAGCTTGGTACGCCAACTGGTTGAGTAACTGAAAGGGCTGCCAGGCAGCATAGTTTGTTAAGCCAATGCCGCTTTGAGCCCGGGAAAAAATTGTGCAATGGGAATTATTAGCCGATGGCGCGAATTCCAAATGAATGATGCACCTGCCATTCACCTACCATTCACAACCACATCCCAGATCCTCGGCAAATTCTCAATTCAAACTGAATGCACTCAATTTTTAACGTGTGCATGTGTGTGTGCGAGCTATGTGTGTGTAGATGGATTAACTGCCTTGCGTGTCAATTCAAATGGGATTGCTATTTGAGAGCAATGCAGCGCCAGGCGCCATCAGAAAATTGGATAAAGCAACGATTGTACAGCAGGACGGAATCAATTTCTGTTAGTTTACAGGCGCACTTTTTAAAAATCTCAAATCTCTAAATTTGGCGCATATTCTAGACAAAATAGTAAGTACTAAAGCTGGGGAGTAAAAATTTGTGAGAGCTGAACTCCCCTGCGTACACCCTTGGATATTGATAAAATGTATGCACTACTTACCTCACGCTCCATTGGCCTATTCATTTCACGGAATATATTTGAAAACAACCCATCGATCCAATCTCTCGTTTCCATGTCCAAATAGCCATACAATTCAATTACCGAGCAGGCCTTTGGCAAAGCATTAAAATTATAAAGTTTTTTAAAATTTATACTTATAATAATTATAATTGTCTTATTTCTTTTCAAATTGATTTGGATGTATCCTGTCCTCATATAATGGTGTATGCATTTAGCTGTGCAGAATTTAACATATTACACAAAATTCAAGTGCACAATTACTTAAGTTGTGCACAATTACTTAAGTTGTGCACTTGGAGTTGTTTGAATTTATTCTCAGTAATTATGCTGAAATTGCACATTTCTTTTCTGTTCATAACTACTTAATGGATACGTTTCTATAGAAATTGAATTGAAACTACATGCACTTATGTTCTCTGTGACCTGTGACCTGTGCAAAACGATAACAAGAAAAAAGAAATCACGAGAACGTCCCGTTGCTCCCCATAACGTAGTCATAATGGGCGAACTTGCCATAAAAGGTAATAGAGAAAATGTTAAAGTGCAACGCAGACTAAATGCTCTTTTATTTAAGTCGCATAATACTTGTCTTTAATCTATTGTGTTTTTAAATTGACTCTATGTATTCAACCTAAGCCACTCCAGACAGTTGTATGTCCTTAATAAACATGTAGAAATTATTCCATTTATTATTTTAAAATATATATTTGAATAATATTTACTCAAGTTTGAAATTATGAAACAAATCTATAGTATAATAAGACAAATCTTATATAAATGGATTGGATTGGAAGTTGAGTAAATAATTTATAGCTAGAAATAATTAAGCTTTTTAGAACGGTGCAACGTCAAATATCACAGCTGTTGCTCTCTAACGTGTTGCTCAAAACCAGTGTATACAAAATATGCGAAACGTAAAGCGATTTGTGTGAGAGGAGCAAAAAGTGCCAGACCACTTACCTTGGGGTTAAGCACAATGCACTTGGTAGGCAGGCCCATGTGGCATTGCGCTTTGACCAGAGCATTTATGACGACAGTTTTGCCACCACCTGTTGGGCCCACAAGCATGGTCGAGTGGCGGGTCATCATGGTTTCGTACATTTGCACCACTTTGTCTTCCTGCCGTTGATGTCGTCGTCGTCGTCGGCGTCGTCGTCATTGGGCGAGTGCAAAAAGTAAAGGTGAAGGCGACGTTGTTGTTGTTGTTGGAATTTGGTTGTCATAAATGATGTTGCCGGTGGGAGGTTAAAGGAGGAGGAAAGGCGCCATGACATCAGTTGGTCAGCAGTTGACATTGTGTGTGACATTTGTGTCATTTGTGCAACGTTTTGTTTGAAGAAAATGGCAAAATTGGATGGCAAAAATGGCCCCATGGAGATGAAAGATAGAAAATTGTATTAGTAAAAATTGTCAGCAAAAAGAGCACATTGGAGCAAAGTTGAAATTAGATGTAAGCAGCTAGCACGGCTTGGGCATTGTCTGTGGAGTAAAATGCTTTGTAGCATTTCCGCTATTTGCGATTATGGGACAAAGCGCAATTTACAAAGTGTCAAAGTGTCAACGCTGACAACAGGACCTGCAAGAGGCAGGACAACTATAGCAACTATGTCTTCACTTTGCTTGTTTTTGCTTGTCAGCCACGTCATGACTGTGCAAAAGCTGAAAAACTCACAACACGACAACGCAAGCACTCACCTGGTCGGGCAACAATATGTAGCCATCGTTGACCAGGACATGACGCGTGGCCGCATTGAAATCTGGATAGCCGATGCGTGGACAATCGATTCCAGGGAACAGATCCTTAATAAGACCCAAGAATAGCGGCACGTCTTCGAATATGAATTTAGGAAAATTCATGTCTCGCAGAACGCGCATCAGGACCACAGCTTCGGGTAGATCCTCCGACTGACGCTTCATGACACCAGCCATTCGCAGCACCGAGTTCAGTGACCGCAAACCCCAATCGTAGTGACACTGCTTGGAGAGCTGCTCCTGGGCCAGCGAATATAACACTGTCATTTTCTTTGCAAGCACTTTGGCCGTCAGGAAACCGTCGGAGAACAACGAAATAAGGCAAATGAGCTCCAAATCGGGCTTAATGCAGGTCACAGGCCGGAACAGAGCCTTTACCGACTCAGGTAGCTCAGTGCGTCCAGCGTAGCCGGGATTCATGGTGACGAAAACTCCGCACTTGGGATCCAGACTGATCTCAACACCTTCAAACTATCAAATAAAAGCATGATAAGAACTTTACGAGCTTTAATTCAGTACTAGGGGACTTAACTCACCACAAAACGCTTCAGCTTGCGTATTAATCCGTTGCGTATGGTCTGGAGTTGTGTGGAGATTACACTGAGCACTGATATGTCAATGCGATTAAATTCATCAAAGCAGCCCCAGGCTCCACACTGCACCAGGCCCGATAGTATGGTGCCCACAGCCCGGTAATCCATGCCCTCACCACAATTGGTGACCACACAGAGCAGACCCATAGCTTTCGCCAGATCCTTGACGGTCTCCGTTTTGCCGGTGCCGGCGGGTCCGGCCGGTGCCCCACCCAGATTCATGAGCAGCGCTTGGGTAATCGTTAGATAGATGCGATCGGTTAGTGGAGTGATGACCAAACGTCCATTCAGTCCCATGTACTCATAGCCAAAATCAAAGCTACCCGAGCATTGGATCACATGTAGGTTGTCATAGAACTTTACCCAGTAGAAACGCAGCTGACTCTCCCAGCTAAATTCACTGGCATCCAGTACGTTGTCGCGAACAAAATTATCTATAATATCCCGAGCATGGACATCGATGGTGCATATTGCCTTGAACTTAAGTCGATCGTTGCGCGAGAGATTAGAGCGCACTTTCAATACGAGCTCCTCAATCTGATAGTTGCTTTTCATGAGGAAGTCCTTCATAGCTCGCATGTTGCCGTGATTTTGAGCCTGATCGAACGCCTCCTCCACCTCGGCCGTCCACCAGACTTGGCCAGCAGCCAACCCCACCATGCCCTGGTAGTTCATTAACCAGTCCGGTCTGTGGAAATCGAAAGTGCCCAATGACTGTCAATTTAATGCAATTGGCCATAAATATGCCGGGACATGCGCCTCTTGTGCCGGCTTATACAAAATAAAATAATAAATCGCACCAAATGACAAAATTATACAGCCGCAGGCTCACTGTCTCAATGTAAATCGCTGGTCATAAAACGGGGGCCGGAGTCGGAATCGGTATGTCGACTGGCTTTAGCTGTCATACACATACTACATATATATTTTATGTTGCTCACTTACCTGGAAATTACCAGATCGGTGCCAAAGTCGTAGATGCACGTCTTGGTTATATAGCGATTGGAGCGACGCATTTCATCCAGCACATCGTTCATCCAATGTTCCACACGACCCTGGGCCCGTGCTGTCCAACAACAATAACAACAATAAGAACAAAGGCAATAACCACATAAATAAACCCCAGTCGCCAATATCAATAAGTGTATACAAAAACCATAAAAATCAAAGTACCCGAATTACAACAACAATGACAAAAACAGGAACAAACGAATGCGCAATCATCTCCAGCAGGGGATAACAGCAACATCGACTGGCTTCAAATTAATTAAAAGAAATTGGCCAGCCAGCCAGAGAACAGAGCCATAAAAAAGTTCAATTTTAAAATTGGCAATCAGTGCGTTGGGATTCTCGCTGCTCGCTGGCTGTTTGCGGCATGGCGGGGAATGGAGATAGGAGTTGCTGGATGGCAGGAGAGGGGTGTACTTACTGAAATTGCGAAACTCCATGACCTCGCTCTCGCTGGATATCATGGCGGTAACAATTGTGTGACCGGCCTCCTTCACCAGGCGCAACGACTTGATATTGTCGTACATCTGCGTATGCGGCATGAAAATTGTGAAATCAATGCGGAAAAATACATTTTTATTTATAAGCAAAATAAATTCATAAAAATTTACCACGGATCTGGCCTGTGGGTGTGTGTCCAGTGCATGTGCTGCACAAATGGCGTAATTTCCGCCTTGGACATTGGCCAGAACGCATAAACAGTGACATTAACTTTTATGGCAAGATTCTTACTACACTCATACACACACATTCACGCCCAGTCATACATAAAAATAATGTTGCTGGCAGTTTAGCAAATCTGTTGTTGTCACACCCATACCCACACTGACACACACACGCACACTTATGCACGCCCAAAAACTTCAACCCACCTTAATGATGTGGTTCTGCACTGCAGATGGCTCACTACTACCCAAAATCGAGAGCAGCTCATCGGTGGATATGAAATAGAAACGCGGGAAAATACGACGTTTCGAGTCCAAATATTCGTTTAACGACTTCTGACAATTTTCCAAGCCAACTCCCAGACCTTGTATATCCAATAAACGTCCGGGCACTGCACAAAATGGCGCCACTAACGGATTTTTGGCACAATCGACCATGATCTGCAATGGAAAAGGAAGCGGCAGTTAGAACAGTAAATTATTATGAAAAGCAATGAGCAGAGTAACAACAATAGTAACAACAACGAAACACCATCAAACACAATACAAAAGCTAAATATATTGACTTGCCAACCGATTCTCTAAATACCCTTGCGTAATATTATAAAGATAAGCTTAATATAATAAAATACGATCCAAATTGCATTGTACATCATTTACGTTTTTCACATTGATTATTTTCAACATATTTTTGAATAATCTGCATATCAAATTTGGAACATGAATAGGTGATATACACAATTATTTGATATTTTAAGTTAGGGCTTATTTTATTTTAAATGGTTAGCTCATCGTTGTAGGCAACCGGTCTTGTAAGCTCAATGGAAATGGCGAAAAACACAATCCATCCAATGGAAGGGTATCAGCATAATACGAATGTCGAGAGCAAATCAAAATAATAAATCATTTCATAAATGGCATCAAATATGTTGGCAAATGTTGCAAATGAAAAGTAAAGCAAGCGAAGCAACTGGCGAACAAGGTTAAGTGAAGTTAAGCGTCTAACACAAACTCAAATCAACACACATATATACACACAAACACTTCCGCCGAATGGGAAGGTGAAAGCGTTTGGCTTTGGTAAACATAGTGCCGGCTGACGGTGCGTATGTGTAATGTGTGCGACGTCGGCTTGTATGAGTTGTGTGTATGTGTGTGAGTATGTGTGTGTGAATGTATACTTAGTATGAATGTTTGTATGATGTGCTTGTAGTAGTCGTATTTGTGAGCCAACACAATTACGAATACGCAAAGTGGTCGTTTGCATGCGTATTATGTTTACCGTTAAGTAAGGCGTCGCCATATTGTCGGCGCACATTAAATCAACCCAAATAAATTGAGTAGATATTTTGGTCATGGCATTGGCTACCGAACAAACAACCAGTATAAACAAATACATACCAAACATCAAATACTAACCCTGCGATACGCCTTGTCAATGTCATCAAATTTACGTGCCTCTTCCGGCAGCTGTGTCCGTATGTCGCCGCCAATAAAGATTCCCTCCAAGTACAGCCACTTGCGTTGCACGATCAGCCACTCATCGATGATCTCTGAAATGAGGGCCAGTGCGCGTTCCCATCGGTTAACCGTTTCCAGGAAGGGCCCAATGAATCTGCAAGCGGAGCACAAAAGCCAACTTTACTTATTTAACCATTCACAAAAAAGCTTAAATACTCATACAGTGTATCCAGTTTTATCATGGCCAAAGGGTAATTAATTTACGATTGTGCCATATGGAAGTATCATTACTTACTGACTGGCCCCCATTGACTGGAGGTTCATGGCATTATCGTCGAGGACTTGCATTATCTCATCGACTGGTCCTAATATCCATCCGCGATCCTCCATGCCCTTAAAGTGCTTGTGAGTTTTAAAGCTCATCAGTGCCCAGGTTTCTTCGACAGCACGTACGCCGCGCTCAATTTGCAGCTCCTTGATGGCATTGGTGAGGATCTGCTCGGCAATTTCCTGATACTTGTGCAGTTGCATCGCAAACATGTTGTCCAATGTGAAGCGTGTCGGCGACATATCAAAATATTGGCCCGTCTTCTCCATGAGCTGACGCCAATGGCGTTCACGCAACGCCTCATTTTTGAGGCTGACCATCAGCGGCACTGTGGCCTTGAACTGCTTCATGTGAATCTCCAGCTGCTGCCCAGTGGGCAATTGGCGCACCTGCAAAGAGCAAGAGTTGAGAGAGCTTACAAATGCTTAGTTAGCAAAATCAAATCAGTTGAAACAATAGTGCGGTGGCTGCACGCTGCCCAGTTGTGGTTGCAGCTGCATTGAATTATGACGAGAGCGCTGTGCGGCTGTGGCTGTGTTGGTTTGTTTTTGGTCAGTAGCAGCGGCAGCGGCAGTGGCACCCGTTTTGTTATGTTGGCCAAAAAGCGCAGTCTGTTTACATTTACACATGCACTGTCCTTGCCTCTCGCCGATTGTTTGCACATCCACATCAGGCGAAGCTGAGCGGGCATAAATTAGATTCCCGCACAGGCAACAGCGGGCAGCACACCAACTTGTCAACGCATCGGGTGGGCATGTGGGGGTGGTTGGGTGGCGTGGATCGACACCCGCTGGCATTTTAATTATTTTCAATATTGAACAAATTGATTTGCATTTTGGGACCCTGATTATGTCATAGCTTATGAATAGGCCGCAGAGAGAGAGAGAGAGAGAGAGAGAAAGAGAGAAAGAGAGAGCAGGAGCATCCAAAATTATGTGCATGATAAGAGCTGCATTAAAATGTGTGCATGCTAACTGATTATATTCAAATTTCCGCACACTGTGCTATTTATATTAATGATAAACTAATGAAATAGTTTGCATGCTAATCTATGCATGTAATCACCGCTCATGGACACAAATGTCGCTTCCACACCAGCAGCAACACCAGCACTCCCACTGCCAACTATTCCCCATTGGCACCACCAGTCTCAGCCCATTTCGCCCAACAACTCGGTTCATTTATATGAACAAAACTTTTTGAGCGCGACAAACTTTTGGCCTGGCCAGAGAGAAATTCCTCAGAAACTTGTTAGTGAAGTAAATAAATCAATTTGTCATAATCAGTTTAGGTGCAAAATTTCTTCGCTGCTAGGCCAAATTTCACGATGCTGTTTTTTACGCTAAACGAGAAACTCAACAAGTTCCCAACCATCGACTATATGACATGCTTTAAAAAGTAATTTTGGAATAGTTCTTTGGAAAGCACAAGGAGTCTGATAAGTACGCAGATGACTATACAATATGCGTTATCCTCCTATTTATTAAAATGTAGGGTGTGAGAGATGACTGAGTGCAGAGTTGAGAAGTATTTGCTTGTATTATTGTTTTAACGCGTCTGCAAATTTGGGAAAAACTCCAAGCAGGCCGATAACTTTGCCAATTAAGCTAACTTTTTATCTGAAACGCCTTGAGGCGGGACATACCGGTTTTGTCAATTTACGAAACTCCTTCAAATAGCTCTCAACGCCCTCAGTTAAGAAATTTGGATCCAAGTCGACCCACAAGGTCTTGCCCCAGATTTCTCGGGCATTCTTTTGAGATCTGTACAGCTTGTAGATCTGAAAAGTAAATAAGTTTATAACTGCCATCAGGTCTAGTCCTAAATGGTTAAGTTACTTACCTGCTGCAAGCCCTCAAACTCGGCTTGCACACGGCTAAATTCATGGTAGTCAACCATTGGCATGTCAAAGAGACGTTCTGCATTGGCCAGCTCCTGGCGTCTCAGCTCTCGCTCATTGAGTTTCTGGCCATAGGGATCCATTAAACGTACACCGCGCTCCAGCTCAGGGCCGCAAGATCCCGGACCATTCTCGTCCCAATCCTGGATAAATTCGTTCAGCTGTATAGGACGAGAACACAACGCAATGTTAGTGCAGTAAAATCAAGTGTCAGCATTTGATTGTTGCGCTTTGTGCAGGTCTGACTCCCAGATCCACGCTCCGTACGCCTTAAATCAAATAATAAACACTTCAAGTTAATTCATTTTACGCTGACGGCGCCGTCGCCGCTGACAATTGACAATAATGGTTGAGCGCGCGGGAAAAATCCAATTAAAATGCCATTGAAAGGAAATAATAATAGAGGGAAACAAAACAGAACTGTAGAAAACGCAAAATTGAGGAAATGCAGGGTCGCCAGCAGCCCAAAGCGAAACACCATTCCCAATGTTGCCTGATAGAACGCTTGTCAGCTTACATCATTCCAAAAGACATCGATTTCTCCGGAAGTCATTTCAGCGAATTTTTGCTTGATTGGCTGCAGCTTCTCCGAACGATACAGTGCCGATAGAAATAGACGCTTCCAACGTTTCTCCAAGTGATGGGCCATCAGCATGTCCTCATACGAAAACTGAAAAGTAAAGTTTAAAAAGAAAATAAAAGAAAAGAAACCATGAAACACGCACACACATTCAAATTAAGCAGTGTCCTTCAATTATTGCTGAGTGCAAATAATAATCATGAATAGTGCCGAAACCCACTAACGAGCAGCCAAGTGCCGCTCCCACAACCGCAACTGCAACACACAGAAAATCTAAAAAAATAGTGTGCAGTATTCTAGACAAGAGTGTTCGACTAGAATATACTCTCTGCAAGAACTCTCAAGTTTGTCCTATACTACTATAGTAGTTGTACGGCAAATACAGCAATAGTTAAGAGATATGCTTGCCTCCAAAATGAATGTTCTTAAGAATCGGTTTTAAAAACATTATTATATTCATTTCTAACCATTGTGAGTGAGTATACAGTATAAAAAGTATCGCACAGCTTTTAGAGCTGCCGCAGCCATTGGTCGCCGTTGCATAAATTTCCATATAGCTTTGCAGCTATTTCATTGAGGGAGTATTTGACTGTGTGTGTGAATGTGCATTTGTTCATTCATTCATTAATTTATATAAAATGCAAGTTAATTCCGTTTTGTCTGGGCCAGAGCTAAGCGCCACTGCCGCAACGAAATACAATCAATAAATGAACGGATCCAAAATGGTGAGCATACAGACACCCACCAACAACCAGACTGCGACAGGGATCGAGACAGGGACGGGGACAGACTGGTCAAGCGGACTACAGTTAGCAACCGAATGCTGCCACCCGTCGTGCCTAGTTGGCTGCCTGCATTTATATAACCGTGTTGTGTGCTGTTTCGAATACGGAAAGCCATTTTCAAATGACGCTCACTGGCCACCGAATATGCATATGTAAACAGTGTGTATGTGCAGCCATACGCTATGGCTTTAAAGGATTTTGAGAACTGCTCATTTGAATACAAAATACAAATATGCGCAACGAGCACCAAACTAAGGCAAATCTCTTGACATTCGTAAATTTTGTTAAACCACTAAATATTATTGCCTGTAATACTATAACAACATGCTTAAAAAAGAGACTTCTCGGTTCTTGCACAGAATTAACGTTACCCATGCGGTACAAGACTGTAAAATATATATGAAATTTGTCTATGTAATCAAAAACGTACAATTCAAACATAGAGTGAGAAAAAGCTTAAAGTTGATACACTTACCATAATATGGTGTTCGCTGAGCACTGTAAATGTTTCTTGCATCTCATGGATTTTTTGCTCACTTGTCAATGTTGTCGACTGGACGGTGGCGATTGTTTGCATGACCAGCTTAAAGTCCTCCAGTTCACGTGTGGTTTTGTTGAGATTCAAGCTCAGCAACTGTTACGAAATTTTGGGTAGAAGGTGTGACTATTTGGGTGTGAGGTCAGAGGGCGGACGACCACTCACTTTGATCTCGCTTCGCATGGACCTCATGTTCCTGTTAACATGCTGTAGCAGCTCCTCGCCCAGTATGGTACACCACTCTTTGGCATGGTGTGAGATGCTTTCCAGCAGTGGGCTCAAATTTATGCGTATGCATCCCACGTTATGGAATTTGCGCATTTGCTGCAAGTTGTTCACAATGGTCGAGTAGAATGTAAATTTCTCATCGATTTCGACGAGCGTCACTTGCCGCTCCACGAACTTTTGGCATATCAGATCCTTCTCGAAAGCCCACAGATTGAAGTACTTGCGAAATCTGTTGATGACACATGGATGCATTTGCATCACGGTGTACACATACTTTAATCTGAAATCAATGTTTACTCACTGCGCCACGAAGCTCTTAGCTTCAGCTACTACTTTAGAGGCCAGATCGTGTACGTGAATGATAAGATTTACCAAGTCCTTGATACTGACGATGTCTTCAAAAAAAGTATAATTAAATTTCCAGTGAGTGGCTGCATCAATTAGTGGACAGTTGAGGCAAGTGCCGCTCATCCAACGCGTAAATACCTTAAGGCTGTGGGTGGCTTGGTGTTAGCAAAGGTTTTTTTTTTATCAAATCGGTTACTAACCGCGTCAAATAATCCTTGGCTGCTGTGATCATGATGTTCTGCAACTCATTCGCCGAGGGTTCCAGTACAATTTCGGACATGAGGAGCACAGCTTTAACCTCAAACATGGGCTGTGCTGAGAGCAGACGATTGATATAACACTTCAGATTGTCATACGTCATGCTTTGGAATATATTCTAGGGGTAGTTAATACATAATTTGAGATATTATGTTTAAAACTCACTCAACAATACACTTATATGTTTCCCCCTCCCAGAATTCGTAATAATTACGCATTTTTTCCGACCTTCCTGTGAAAGTGCCCAACACTAAACTCTCTAGTTTAATTAGCACTGGCCCGAGCGAATCATAGAGCCTTTTCATTTGAGCTGCTTTCTGATTACGCGAAGCCTCCAAAAGCTCAAAATAACCCTGACAACTGTAGACCCCAGTGCCACAGGATATTTCTTCGTTCTTCTTCTGCACGTCCTCTTCCTCATCGGCTTGCATGATTGTAATTGTTCGACCGGTAGACGACTGAAAGGTGCGTCCCGATGAATTTTTGAAGGATTCCTCGGGGCTACGCTCATCTTCTGTGTTTATAATAGATTCCTTCGCTTCAGCCGATTCATTGTCCAGGTTAAACAAATTAAAGCTTTGGATTTGATCAATGCGATTGCGTAAATCCAAGCGTATAAAATTTATTTGTGATACTATGGAGGTCAATTTGCGCAGCTGTGAGTTAATTTGGTCACAAAACTTTCCAATGTTGAACGATATCCAGGTGTAACGACCAACTCCCATTTGTATGAATAACTCCGTATCGTAAATGTGTTCCCGCAAGAATACAACCTCAGACATTGATAAGTTACTGATTAGGCTGTTATATTGATTAATGACCTCAGAGAGCCGCTCAAAGTCTTTAAAGAGAATATCCTTTTTCATAATGGCAGTGCGCAGAACCGATGGAAGAGTGAAGCCCAACTGCTCAAATAGCTGACCCTCGAACATTGTGTCAAAGATCTCACGATTCAAATTAACGACAAAATGCATGTCATACTCGATCAGCACCTTTTCGTCAACCAGCTCCCGCCAAATTGGCAACAAGTGTTGTGATTCCGCAAGAATGAGTACTAAAGAGATTGCAAAATTATAAACAGCAATAAGTTAGAACAAAAAATGCTTGATTGATTATTGAAAAAGAAATCAGTATTTGCCGATTTAGCAAACTCACATTCACATATCTTCATACATTCTCGATCCCGTGCTGATATATCCTTTGGCTTTCGGTCCCTCATCTCGGCCATAAAGATATTTGCCTTACGCAGCTGTACATTCCCGTGTCGTGTTTTGCCCACCATCCACATAATCATTGCCGTGAGTACTGTGAACCGATTGATTCTGCACATGACACCTGCTTGAGCGGCATCTACAGCAGCCTTTGTGTCTTCGTCAGTGTCCTCCAGCATGGTCGCTGAGTTTTGTAATTGCAGGTCAACCTCGGACAGAAAACTACCGCCATATTGTGAAGTATTCATTAAAGAATTGACGCGGCTTCTGGATCTGAGCGCTTGCATGATTTCAGATATGTAATTCACTAGTTGTGATATAAAATTCGATCAGTAACATTTTCTGTGGTGTGGCAAATAAATATACATACTGGTCTCCTCCTTGCATATTTGAATACGCAGTATGCTAGAGCGATTGGTGTGGTTTACGATAAAGGTGGCATTCTGCATATACTTCTCAAAGAGAACTTTTTCAAACTGGTACATAACAGTCATCAGCTCAAAATATTGCTTGAATGCGCTCCGCTTAAGGAAGCTATTTACCATTGCTGGATCTTCTTCTACCGTCTTGAAGGCCAAGACAGAGTTTTTTAGTTTGCGCCCCAGTAAACGCGCCCAACATACTGCGCTTATCTTGGCCGGTTGAAGTCTTGGCATAGGCGGAGTTTTCTTGTATCGCTGTAAGAACAAATCGAATGAGAACATTTTAATCGAGCGTAACAGACTGATGCCAGTGTTATACGAGTTGATCACAGGATATATATATATATATATTACACTTAATACGTACCGTGAAGACAGCTTCTACGTTATTAATTTCGCTAACGAAGAATCGTAAGAGATTCTCATGTTTGGTGGAAACGAACTCCTGAAGCACCTTTCGCGTGTCGATGCTGTTCGCATTGACTAGCAATTTAATACCTTTTTGGGCTGAGAGTAGCGAGTTGATACTTTGATCAATAACCGTCTTGGCTTCAATCTCTAGCACTTCCAAATGTTTATTGAACTGTTCTAGGGAGTATTCCCAATTCTCCCAATTGCTGGGCATAAACATATCATAATCTACGCTCCTTATTAGTTCATCCAGCAAGCGGTAAATTTTGCGCATTAGATTATCCACAATTGCAGGGTCTGTAATCAGCGCTTTGAGATTACGCCCAAACAGATTCTCATACTGGATGAACACACGCCCCACATACGCAATATCCACGGCTACACGGTATATGTGATTCACTTCATTGAAGAGCGCCATGCTATCGAATTCCCAACGAGATCCAGCGCCTGATTCCTCAATGTGCTCGCGGCTGACTTTGTAGGCCTGCTTCCAGCAGCGTAATATGTTCGCACAATTGTTGGCCGTCTCAAACGTGTAGGATGCAGAGTATCTGAGATTTGTATATGCATGGATAATTCCAACTTAACAATTGGCCAATCCTTTTTCTGTACTCACCGAAATATGTTGTCGAAATTTATAATTTTCTTCACCTTCTGCACAAACACATTGGATATCTCACAAAGTAGCACTTGCATTTTGGGATCACGGCAATAGTAGCTGGACATGGTCCAGATGTGGCGAAGGCCGACCATTACATTTGGTATCTGCATTGTGGCCATCTTAAAGCTGTCATAGTTTTGAATTTTCTAGACATGAATGAAAAGAGGACGAGAGTTAAGACACTCTGAGATATTACTTCTTTTTTTTTCAACACACCTCTAAATAGTCCGTAATAGTGCCCAGATAGTCAGAGTTCTCTTTTGCGAGCTTGAAGCGCTCTTCGGTATTGGCAAGTACTTGATTCCATTTAGCAATCACACTGGATCCATCAGTCGTCAATCGGTTAAGCACGGCGATCACAAAATCAGTTTTAAGTTGCTCTAATGTGCCATACAGATCGATTTCCATTTGATGCCAATAGCGATACTCAGCCATTGGGGTGAATTCGTCTAGTTTGCTATCCTTGAGCGATTTCATCGTTTTGTTCAAATACTTCATCCAGCCATCGACAACATCCTCGAGCTGTTGTTGTGTATAGGTGGGAACCAGCTCCAATTTTTTTGTATCGACGGGCACGCGAATGAGCGCCTCCTCAAATTCGGTCTCCTCCTGACCGGGCTGCACATACGAAGAGGGCAGATTAAAGGCCCAAACAATATGATCGATTGTCCATTCAATTTCTTTATCAAGCTCATCAAGCTCTTTGAGAAATGCACGCTGTATTGGCAGTATGCGTGGAGGAGTTGCCTCCTCGGCCGCATGCTCTGCCTCCACCTTGGACTTGGTCTCATTCAGTAGCTTTTCCCAACGCTCAGCAATTGTCAGCTTTTCAGGTTTCTGCTCGACTGTGAATCGTATCTAGTGTAAACTCAATTGCTTTCAAAAAATGATCAGAGCTTACCCTCCTCCTCAGAAGATGATGGTACTTCCACCTGCGCCTGCACAGTTTCGTCTTCTTCGTCGGCTTCCGTGGCCGTCTCCTTCTTGGCCTGCTCCATCTTCTTGGCCTGCGCTTGCATTGCCTTTTGCTTCCTGTGATGTCAAAAGCAAAGTATAAGCAAGTGAACACAATTAAAGGCGCTCGACATTTAAAATTAACACAAAGCGTAATGAAAAGCCGCTGATAAGCGAAATGAGCAACAAATACAAACAAAAGCCAACAAAGGGAACAAACAGGCAAAAACAACCTCAAACAGAGGCCTCCGATTGCGTTCGCTGCCACGCGACGAAGGAATTTTTTAATTCACGAGCGTGTATGCCTAAAAAGGACGAGCAGAAGAGCGCTCACTGGTCAAGTGGCTGCTGGTGGGGTGCGCAATGCACGGCTGAGTGAGGCTCTGGCAGGACGTGCCATAAATGGCTACCAAACCAATGGGAAGGGGCAGAAGACAACGACATCGACGCTGGCGCTGGCGCCGTTGATGGCAGCATGAAATCCGATTAAAAATAAAAATTCTTATCGGATGCGCTGTAATTTATGTGCGAAAAGGGTTATGCAGGATTCTCCAGAAAAAAAAAACAGAACGGAAAAAGAAACTGTAGCCGCGTCGATGGTAACCAGTGATAAATGCAAAACAAAGGGCAACGAAAAATGTGCACGAAAAAAAACGAAAACAAAAAAATTACGAAAACAAAAAATACAAAAACAAAAGACAACAAAAAACGACCGTTTACAGTCGGAGCAAGCACTTCAGTCAGCATAAAACCAATAAAGCGCGGGTAGTACGCCCAGCCCCCAAAAAAAGCAGATCCCTCGCCTACAGTTAGTGAGGGGAACGTGTTGCCTTTGTTAAAAGTTAAATACTTTTGTTGTTTAAGCGCTTTCAAACGAAATTCCGATGGTTTGGATAGCTCCAATAGACCCGGCCCCGATTCCTTAGCATCGCTGGAAACATCCTCGCCGGCATCCCCAGCGCCTCCGCCACCCCCTTCCCGCTGGGCATCATTACTCTCCATTTGTTGGGTATCCGTGGTGTCCGGTTCGCGAAATTGAAATTGAAAGGCGCTTTTGTAAACCTGCAATAGAAAAAAAAATCAGAAATAAAAAAAAAAGAAAATGCAAAAATTCATGTGTTGTTTCGGTAGGTAGATTCTAGTATGTGGAGGCAATCTAATTGATTTTCTGCGTTGATTTGCCAAAACCAATTTTCAATTTTCAACAAATTCCCAATTTATTTTCATGCAAAAAGCAAATATTATGGCAGTTGGAGCCTGTTTCCTCCCTCTTGTAGACCGCAAAATTTGCAAGCTGCCAAGTCTTACGATGAGGGGCGAGAAGAAATTGGAGTGGGGCGGGAGGTTAGGTTTACCAGCCAGCCTAATGGAAACCGCAGCACATTTTGAGGCTATGATGAAGCAATTTGCGTTGGCGCTGTTCGCTTAAGGCATTGTAGGCGTGAGGCCGTTGCCACAGCCAACTACCTCCTCCTCCCCGTACTCTCTGACTCCCTTTCGCCAGACCGCCCGTTGTGCACTGAAGCGCAAAAATCTTTCGCCACGGCGTCCATTTTGATAGATGACTGCCTTGTTTTAGGAATTAATTACAATTCGTCACATTTTGTTTTGCGGTTAAGAATGGACATACCAAGGCAGCAGGACGCAGGGCAAGTCGGATGCTCATATAGAGGCTGAAGACCCGTTTGAAACAATGGCGACTCCTTCGAAGCCGTTGATTGATTGAATAACGTTTTATGGGGTGTGAAATGAGCGAAAGGGCGCAAATTTGAGTGATTTTGGTTGCGGATTGTGTTGTGGCATTAAGTGGCGCATTTTGATGACCAGCTTACTAGTGGTGCTTACCATCTGTAATGTGTGTCGCAGCGAGTCGATTAGGCTGCCCCTTATGGAGCCTAAGAGGAATAGTAATGGCATTTCGGCAAAGCAATGAGATATCTCCTTGAACAAGGCTGTAAAAATTAATGAAATTAATGAGAAATTGTACAGTAGAATGCACTTCAATATCAATCGGTGGAATATGGTGGAATAATCTTCGTAGTTAGAAATATATTCTGAATAATCTATTTATCCATGGCTACACATAAGCCAAGCCAGAAAAGAACATGAATGAATGATTAGTAGTTATAATATTCTTTCAATTATGATTTTACTGTTGATAACATAAGTTTGAGTTAGATGTTCATAACTTACGAACTTCTTTGGCATTTTTTCGTAATATGTAAACATATCTTATGTTAGGATCCATGTTGCTTGATTCCATTTCGCCAAAGTGACAATGGAGCAAAGGGGTTTTGACATAAGCCGGAACAATTTTCTGCAAATGGGAGGAAAGGTTCATATGCATTATTAAGGTTTATATTCATTATTAAATTGTTTTCTAATGTAAGTTTTTCAGACTAATAATATTTTCTTTATAAAGATATTTTTAATTGACTTCAAAAGAGAGCTGCCGCTTGAGAAATTAACGCGTATTGAAAAATGTGTATTGCAAAGTAAACTTTTTATATTTTTCATAGTTCAAACAAATCTGACCAATAATACATAAACTGTGCAATTTTAATATTTGCACTTACCTTCACTTCAATATACACTGGAACGTAGGATTTCTTTTTGGTTTTGCGACCTGTTGGAGGGGGAGGGGAGATAAGATTAAGAGTATTATCATGGCATGTGGGCGTGGCAGGTGCAGTTGACTGAATGAGACTGTGAGCTTGTGATTGACGTGCTGAAAGCAGATGCAGTTAAAGTTATTTGCATTCACCATTGTTCCAGAACATTTTTGGTTTCCATTAAAATGCAATGAACGGAATGAAACTTTGCTGTTATCTTTGTGCCGGGAAAAGCAAATCAAATGAGCTGCGTTCTCAAATGCAGACATTAGACGCGGGGCAAGAGTGTGACGCGAATTCAAATTAAAAGTTGCAAAAGAAATGAATGAAATGAATATTAGGCAGACGAGCCGAAATGAGTCCTTTAAATATGTATGATGTGCTGTGGGCAGCGCGATTCAAAGCGAGGACAAAGATTTACGTTTGATATTAAGTTGGACGGGCAACAAAATTTATGCGTTGCATTCAATGGTGTTGGGGAAAAACGCATAATACGACTTAAGAGGTGCGGCAAAAACTTTCCAAATTAAAAAATGGTGCAAAGAACAAAGGGAAATTGAGCAATGATGCCACATATTTACCATTTTCCATATCTGAGCTGGCTGGCGATCATAAAAAAATGTGTTAGCAGAGCGTTAAGAATCACTGAAATGAATAAGGCTAAGATTTCAACTACTCACGTGAGCGTTTAGAGCGAGCCGAACTCTTGTTGCTACTGCCCACAGTAGCATCCTCCTCGCCTTCGACTTCACCCTCGGCCTCTGTCTCAAGATCAGTCTCCATGGCAGTACCCTCGCCGCCCTCGACGTCCACTTGTTCAGCTTGCTGTGGCTCTGCATCCTGTCCGCCCTTCTTACGTCCCTTGCCCTTGGCAGCGCCTTTCTTTTTCTTCTCCTTCTTGTCCGGCAGCGAGGGCCTTGGCACTTCCTCCAGCACGGTGATCTCCTCCTCCACGAGTCTATCAAAGAACGTACGCCACACGTACATTAGCACGCGATCCAGATGAGCCTGCCGCTCGTAGCGCTTGTTGATAAAGTCGTCGACGGCCTTGTGGTTGTTGGCTATCAGTGTGTTCACGTAAATGGGATCGAATACACCCAGCTGGTTAGCAATGATTGTTTTAAGCCAAACAACTCGAGGCTCATCTAGGCTGATGCAGCTACCATCGTTTTGGCCCGATGCGCCAATATCGAACTTCTCAAAGCCGCTATGTGTGGAATTCGACATTGTAGCTGGAGGTGACACTATAGAGGGAGAATCCTCGCTGACTTGACGGTGGCGACTTCAATGTGTGTGTTTATTGGGTTAGTGGTGCCTGGAAGAGGATTGCACGCCAATCGCTGAAATGCTACCTGCTTACGCATTCACCTCCACCACCTACCTGTTTTCTTGTTGTGCTTTCAATAAATTTCAGCTTCCGTTTCTCAGTTCGTTTCCGCGATTGTTTACTGTATGCGGCGTTGTGCAAATCCTTTTGTGTAACCTGGGACAACGGCGGCGGCGTCAGCCGTGGTCTTGGTCGTTGTCAAACGTTGCAAGCCAAATATGAACGCTTTGAAATGTTGAACTCGTTACTCAATTTGTAGCAACGGTATATGAAAAATATATTTCATTTCCCTTCATAATACATATCATTCGACGCTACTTTGATTTTCTGCTTAAAGTTGCCGACTGAAGTTTACCTTGTTCAGGAACACTGTTGTTGTTATTGACGGCTTTTTGTTGCAGTTGTTTTTCTGTTTGCTGTTTGTTTTGTGGCGTTACCTTGGCTGGTTGTTGCCATTGTTGATGTTGGCTCAGCAACCAACTCCTCTACTTCATATAATTTCGCCCCGTCTTGTCCCTTTGCTACCTGTCAGCTGCACTTGCAACATGCAACGGAGCTATGGCAAAAGTGTTTACTTGCTTCGGGGCGTGCGCGTTGCGTAAACAAAACACGCAGTGCTCACTTAATGGCCATGCACATTAGCAACATGCCACGGTAGCAGCCAGGCACTCAGTCTTGGTTTCAGCGTCACCCTCATAACCCCTTGCGTGTACGGTCTCACCCAGGTCAAGTGACTGCATCAGGTCAGATGGCCGCCATTGGCTTAATAACTGTTTAAATGAAATATAGAAATAAAAATATTTACAAAGCAATTGCAAAGTGTGCTTCCGATGCCTTTTGCCATTAGAAATTGTTTAGCAGCTGCCTTCAAAGCTTTGTGATGAGTTTACTTTGAGTGTTGCAGCGGCAATATAGCATCACCACCATCAGATATCCCACGACCATCAGATGAAGGTGCCTCGTCAGCTGTGCTGATTGAAAGGAGAAGGCAGTGCTTGGGGTGATGCCAACGCGGTCTGTTTGCATTCAATCAAAGTTTGCTGCCTGCGCTTAGATATGCCACAGAAGTGCCGAGATATATATATATATATATATATATATATGTAGTCTCAATACGTTCTCAATATATATCACTTGTTAGCAACTGCTTTGGCAAACTAATTTAAAGTTGTTGCAATTTTAAATAGGATTCGATTGATTTTCATTCTCTTTTAGATCTCCTTGGATTCTCATGCATAGTAATTTTTTCACAAAATTGGGCATATTATCTAGCTCAGACATTGCTTGCCGTTGTTGTTGCTTTTGATACTACCTCGAGGCAATGAGCTTTGCCTTGATCTATTTCAGCCGTTGGGGCCAAACGACAGCCGAGTTCAATACTAATTGAAATAAATGAATGTTTTGTCATCGCTGGCAGACAGGAAACCAGGTTGGAATATGGGATCTGGCTCAATGTCGGATGAAGTGCCGAAGGCAATAGCAGCATCATTAAAATGCATGGTTCAAACTGTACGTATACTTAATATAGATTGCTAAGGGAGGCTGGGAGGGCAGCTACCCATTCGTAGCTACAGTTGTCTGTAATTTTTATGCGTCATGTTTTTATTTGTATTTATTATTGCGTCGCTTGCCTTTGCATCAAAACGTACCTTCTCTTTGCAGGTGAAATTCTCAACGCAATTCGCGAAATGAGAATTTATTGGCTTCTGTGAGGGTATGCTTGTGTGCGTTTGTGATTGTGTGTGCTTGTGCGTGTGTGTGTTTTGCTATATTTGCCTCTTCTATAAGTGTCTCCGTTTGCGCTCAGCTGTTTCCGTTGGCGTCTCCCATCTGCAACACATGAGTTTAATAAACACACCCTACAGCTTTCAGACAGCTTGAAGGATGCTTGCGCGTTGTTTGCATTTGCGCTTAATAACTCTCAGATGCTGTCAAGCGTTAGAGAAATACACTCACACACGCAGCCATAATTGGCTAAAGGCATCACATATTCCCATCAATGTGTGTGTGTATGTCTACGTCAATGTGCTTAATTGCAAGTGCAAGAATACTGAAAATGCCGAATGGGATAGGTGTGAGATTGACTTAAGCAAAACATATCCTATTTACTTGCAGTACACTTGATGTAATTGACATCACATCTATCTATGTGTACACGTATTTGGCTAAGGCAATTTAATTTCATGGGCATCCTGATTGTAGATTATTCTTGACAAAAATAAATTAACAATTATGAATTTGTCTAATAGGATATTGGGCATGTTCAACTGCATTATTTTATGGCCAATCAATTTGTCTGCTGACAAATGATATTGAACCAAAATAAAGCTGAATATTAACATTTGTGAAGCCTTGATTATCTTTTATTGTCATTAAAAATGTCAAAATGGACCGAAATACACTGTAACTAATCACATTTCTTTAAACCTAAGCAAATAGTCATGACAATAGCAGCATCATTAAAATGCATGCTTACAACTAAAATATATTGGTATAGGTTTATATATATAGGTTTTAAACTTTAGGATTCCTTATGGTTTTTATTTTTACCCCAATCAATACTGTACATACATTGTGTTTTACTGAACAATAAGCTTTGTACCTAGCAGAAGATACCCATCGAGCACACTCAACTACCGCTCAGGCATATTTAAAAGCAATTCTTCGAATGCAAAATTCTGGTTCTTTGCTGTGATTTGGGCTGCTGGCTAATTAACAGAATGGGGCCGGCGACTCTTTAAAGTTGTTAGGCCTCTTCGTCTACACCCTTTCACACATGTGGTGCTGGTAAAGTAGCTTATTGGACGAAGCAAATGACACACATGTGGCACGCAGCAGTTTGCTGTTCCATTGCTGCATATCCGATCCGTAATGCAGAAACTTTTAGATTGGTGCCGTTCAGATTTGGAATTTGCGGCTATGCTTCTTCGTTCGCATACTAACATACTTACATTGCGAAATGTTCTGCCTGCAGTAGGAGTAGATGAATGCTGAATTTTGAGGCAGTGCATTGTCGGTGAAGCCTTGTAAATCCTCGCAATTTGGCTCCCCGCTGCCCTTGAATCAACCAAATGACCAAAATAGGCAAGCAAATGTGTCCATTAGTGTGCACAGAATTTCCCATCTTATCTGGCTGCAGTCGTTATTCTGTCTGCCTTTCAGTCGACGCCTACAATGCTCAATTGCAACGGGATGGCTGCTATAACCGCAACAAGTTCGATGAAATTTCGTTGCACATTGCAACAAGGACGGCTCACATTGTAGTCCCCGCATATACTGGTAACTGGCTGAGATTGTGCGCTTTGTGGCTATCTAACGAAACGAAACCATTCCAAACCAAAAGCTAAACCGAGGCTAAACTTTGCAACCGGTAGCAGTTTATTCATTGACTACAGCGTCTGCTCGTCCAATGCAGCATTTTCCAACTCATATCGCGCCAAGCAATCGTCCAGCTCGCTTTATATGTGTAGCTACACTAGCCAGCACATTCTTTAATTGTTAAACAAAGATTTGACATTTCAAGGATACAATTAGATGTTGTTTGTCTAATGAGTAGTGCTGGAAAATCTTGAGTGGTTTGCGATAACGCGCTGTTATCGGCAATTCATTTTGCCATAGTCGATACTTTTTCATCGTAAAATTTCATTTTAATCAAAGTTGGTATTATATCCTTATTCAATTATATTCAAAAGTGGAACATAAAATGTGATCTTTGTTGGAATGTTTTCAATTTCGATAATATCAATGTTGACGAAGTCTATATTTAGTATCTGATTTAGAGCTGTGATAGAATCAGCTCAACTTGCCTGTTAAAAATAGTGATTCACATGTGGGCAGTACAGACCTGTAGATTTTGGTGAAATTTGAGAGGAATAAGAATAATAATAATATCGGCAGAGTTAAAAAAAAAGAGTACCATATTTGGACATCCGTTATACAGTGTAAATAAGCATTTCATATTTTGCTGTGAACTGTGCAGCAGATTTTTTTGCCCCAATTAGGCATCCCGTTTTGAGCCCGCACTAATTAACGGCATAGTGATTGTCTACTTTTTTCTATTTACATTCCTGTGCTGGCAGGCAGACACATCCAAACCCACACACACACACATACACATACACAGACACAGGCACTCACATGGTCTCAGTTCCAGGGAAAGAGCAATGTTGACTGCAACAATATTATGCAAAAACAGTGCCTTACTCAACTTTTCGCAGAAGTCAAAAAGTTTTTGACTGACTTAAGTTTTATAATATTTTTGCGCCAACAAATCTCAGCCAAAGATTCGCTCAGTCGCTCGGTTTGAGTTCAATTTGCATACGCGCTCTGAGCATTATTTTTATTTACCTTATTCAGCGTTGATTTATGATTTTATCCCATGGCAAAAAATGCGCAAAGGAAAGCAGAGATGAGAACAGAAAACTCGCACAAAACGCAAATTGAAATGCAAACGTAGCCAGTGGGCCATAACCTGGCTGGACGAGAAGCCTAGGTAAGATTGTACGAGCTTCTGGGGCTGCTTGTGCATGCTACTGCTATGGCCATAATTCAAAACTGAAGCTTTGTTGCTTACCAATTGCTGGTATCGCGTCACGTGTTTTCATTTGGCTTCCTTGCCTTCGTGGCAAGCACTTGGAGAAGTTGTCACGTTGCCATAATAGAAAATCGCTTGCAATATCATTGCAATCGACTCATAAATAAAGTCGATTTAATAGCAGTAGTTGTTGAATCGCCTACCATTGATTCGGCTTGTGTT